TATCACTTAGACTCTTGTGATGTATATAAATACTCATACAAGTGTACGTATAACACAGAGCAATAACATACATTATTCATACTTCTATATGGTATCAAGAGCCCTACTCTTAAGAGCTTAATTTTTTTTTTCTCCACTTCATCTTCCATATGACGATCACAACGGATACATCCGTCATCCCACTTACCGCTGCTGCCAATTTCCCGATCAAACTCACGTCCTCAAACTTTCCGGTCTGGAAATGCCAGGTTCATGCCGCCCTTATTGGCCTTAGACTTGAAGGGTATGTTGACGGTGCTATCAAAGCTACGGACCAATTTACCGATGCTGCAAAAAACCAGGTGAATCCATGCTATGTTTTTTGGTATCGTCAGGATAAGACTATCCTCAGTGCTTTAATCGGGAGCTGCTCCGACACCATTCAACCAATCATCTCCTCTACCACCACATCACGCAATGCTTGGGATAAATTGGCACTCACCTATGCCAATACATCCCGCGACCGGATCATTTTCCTCAAATCTACTCTTGCCAAAACTACCAAGGGTGATTGATCTGTCATGGATTATCTGACTACAATGACCAAAATAGCCGACGATTTGGCACTAGCTCAAAGTCCTACTTCTGAAGAAGACTTGGTTGTCTCTATCCTGAATGGTCTTGGCCCGGATTATCGTGATATCATATCCGCTATTCGGGTCCGCACCACCCCGCTACCCTTAAGTGAACTCCAAAGCATACTGGAGGAGCGCGAAAGGGAGCTTCAAGATGTTGCTGCACCCACTTCCGTGCTTCTACCAACTGCCCATGCTACCCAGGCTACCACTCGGCCATTTCAAACCAAAGATCGTCGCCCAAATTCTGGTGGAGATCGCCGCAATTTCACCTCTAGGAGGGGGCGTGGAGCTTACCATCCCAGTACCTCTCGTTCAAATGGTAACTCCATCACATGTCGTTTTTGTGATAACCTTGGTCACGAGGTTAGACACTGCCGCAAGCTCCAGAGATTCTTAAGGGATCATCAAATACCTCATCCAGCAACTCCGGTCGTTAATCATACTGCCACCCATCCGGCAGGTCTAGATCAGTCCTGGCTAGGCCTGGGATCGGTTCGGTTCGTATTAAAATTCGATGGAACCGTATAAAAATCGTAGGCATTAAATTCGGTTCGGTTCTAATTAAAAATGTAGTTGTTAAATTTGGTTCGGTTCTAGTTAAATTCGGTTCGGTTCTTACCTTTTTTCGGTTCCTAACAAAAAATTATTATCCTCCTATAATGAACACACTTTTTTTCACCTTAAGTTACATAAAAAAATTCAAATTTAAATTACGAAATTATGACTATTACATTATACACGTATGATATCTCAATTTTCAAATATCCAAAAAAATATCTAAGTGCAACATTAAATTTAAACATAACAAAAATCTCGATTTAAAATAAGCATCAACGGTCAAGCAAAAAGGTTCAATAGCTCCAAAGTACACATCCAATAGCAGGTAGTTCAACCCCAAAATAATATTCTTCTACTAGTAATGCACAATAAGTAAAAACTACGTAGTAACAAACAACGTAATCAAAAAAATGTTAATTCTTTTTTAGGTGAACTCCAATAACAAATGCAATTACAAAAAAACAATAAATATAAAAAGGGACTAATGTCTTAAAATGATAACTACTCGGATTGGCCTGATCCACAATATATAAGGTATATTATGCAAGAAAAATATTCTTCACAAGAACTTTTTGCCCGGAACGCCGTCTGGCCCTTCATTTGAGGTGCTTCCGTGAAGAATTTTTTTATAAGGTTTTGTGAGCATGTTCTACATGAAATGTAGATTACATATACCAAATTTCAGCTTAAAATTCAATTGGGAAGTAAGTTAAATAAAATATTGAAAAACATTGCGTTTTTTTTTATATATTTTGGCGTAGTGAGTTAACTTCTCGATTGCATTTTAAGCTCAAATTTGGTGGACATAATCTTTATTTAATAGAAAACAACCTCACAAAATTTCATAAAAAAAATTCACCCAGAAGTACCTCAAATGAAGATTACTCATACAATGTTTGAGAAGTTCGGTTCCTGGCCAGGAACCGGAACCGAACTGGAACCGAACCGGAACCGAACCGATGAAAGACTATAGGAACCGAACCGAAAAAAACTGAAGTCCAAAATTATAGGAACCGAACCGAACCGAACCGGAAATTTCGGTTCGGTTCGGATCAGTTTTCCCGGTTTTCGGTTCCAAGTCCCAGCCCTAGTCCTGGCTTTTCGACAGCGGTGCTTCTCATCATATCACCACCAATGCCGCAAACCTCCCATCTTATAGTGAGTATGGTGGTCCTGAGGAAGTTCATCTTGGCAATGGTAAGACTCTAAAAATTACCCACACTGGCCATTCACCCTTACCAACCTTTTACATGAACTGGGCATACCTATCAACTCTGCTCCTACACTTTTTCGTGACAATCAAGGTGCTACGTATGTGTGTGTCAACCCTGTTTTTCACTCACGTATGAAACACCTTGCACTTGACTTTTATTTTGTTTGTGACTTAGTGGAGCAAGGACAACTCAAGGTGAGCCATATCTCTACCAAGTTGCAAATACCTGATGTCCTGACAAAGCCCTAGGGTAAAGAAATGTTTCAGAAGTTTAGGTCCAAGCTGGGAGTTTCCAACGGAACCTCCATCTTGCGGGGGTGTATTGGAACATAAATATATTAACTCTATTATTATTATTAATGCTACGTATATATCCATATTTGTACTTATCATGTACCTTATTATACTCCCTACTATCCACATCTCTATAGCTAGTTTGTTAGTTGGAGTTCTTATCACTTAGACTCCTGTGATGTATAAATACTCATACAAGTGTACGCATAACACAGAGCAATAACATACATTATTATTCATACTTCTATACTTATTACACTAGTGAAATCCGCTGACTGAATTTGCTATTGACAACCCGGCAACCCGTTAACATAATCCTCTATCCGTTAATCGCTAAATGCCAAACACACCCACAAAATATAAAAAATAAGGGTGTGTGAATATTTTTAAAGTAAATACTTACCAAAAAATGAAAGTGCGACAAAAATTAAAATACATCTCAAAAATGAAAGTATGGCAAACATTTCAAATTTCATTATATAAGGAGTATTTTTTATCCTACCATGTTTAAAAGTATGGTATTGTGTTGTCCAAAATGAATTTTGTTCACCATTCAACCTAATATGCCTCTTTAAAAGTATCCTACCATGTTTGCGAAAAAACTACCATACCACGAAAAATCTTATGAAAAAAACTAAGTTTACTCGTATGCGCCAAAGCTCGGCCAGTGTCTTTGTATCTGATCTTTCTTTGCGAACAGCGAACGTGAAGGTGATGATTGCTTTTTATAAATCGAAAATTGATGAGTTACAATGTTTGAAATTCGATCTACATGGTGAAAAGAGGAATATTAGGTTTTAGTATTAACTATTATGAAAGATTGTTAGTGCTTGCTTATACAATTGCGATTGAGTAATAAGTACTCCGTATATAGCAATATAACATTACGGGCAATATTTTTAAAGATTATAGAACTAAATGTGTGCGGGGAATTCATTTAACTCTTGCCTTGCAAGTCACAATGACTGGTTAAAATTCCCAACAAGAACCTAACATTGTACCAAAATGATATTTCATTGAGGCAAGATGCTTAATGGAGTTGAAATTGTGAATTTGTGATAAATTAGCAACATCTTGTTCATAACCAATATCGTACGAGTATGAATACACATTTTCAGGTCAGTCATGTATTACGTAGGGGTTTCTATGAGTACACATTTGGAGTAAAAAGTTAATTTCATTGGACAAGTTTATTTTGTTTGTTTAAGTCAAACTTGATTTTTTAAGGTATGCCATCTTCTAATCCAACTAAATTTCATTTAATCAGTACTATGAACACGTCCTAAACAGAAAAATTTGCCTAACTCTCGGTAGCAAGAGTATAGCATGAATATATGATCCAATAACACTTCTCTCAGTAGTCTTTATCAAGTAAAACTCGTACTCCCTCGAGCCGTTTAGCAATTAAGTTCATACTCAACATCCTCAAATGAAACTGTGATTATTAAAGAAGAAAAAGTTTCCAAAATAGAAATCATTAGAATCCCTATTTAATAAACAAAGAACACCAAAGTAGAGGGAATCGAAAATTAAGAACACTTGGCTACTATCTATAATGAGTGTCATTTAACGATTAGCTGTTAGCGAATTACAGGTTGATTATATTAACAATTGTTAATAGCGGATTTAGGTGCTGTTCTGTTCGTCTTATTCTTATTACTTATTGCTTATTCTTATTTTATTCAGATCAGATCAGATCAGAAAAATTCAGATCAGATCAGAAAGATTCGGATCAGATCAGATCAGAAAGATTCAGATCAGATCATATCAGAAAAATTCAGATCAGATCAGAACTTAATAAATTCTGATCAGAAACATTCAGATCAGACGAAGAGAACATCTTCTTAATCAATAAGTTTGACTCATGGAATTTGTTGGCGGGTTGACATAAGTTTGGTAATTTAAATGGTTGGTCATAACAATTAGTGAAAAACGCCATGTATCAAAACGCTTAACTCAATATTCTCCTATTTGCAGTGTTTCTATTTCAACAGTTGCATCTAAAAATGCTAGGCCAAAACAACTATTTACCAAATAGGGTTCTCACTTATTGAAAACACTAAAAGGGGTCAAATCACTTTTTTTTTACTGAAAAAGTCTTTTTCCAAACACTCCCAATACCTGTATTTTTTATGATAGCTAGTATATACACTATTAAAAGTGAAAACCTTAATTGCGGGAGGAAATGGGTACGTTCAAATGCTCTATTTAAACTTTCTGTAAATACAGACTTGATTTCGGAAACCTTGCTGCCGTCTTTGGTCTATACTTGCAAAGGTTGTCTATTTGCCAGTTTATTCTTTAGTTTTTTACATTTCTTTCCCAAATGAAGTTCAAAGTTTTATACGTAGTATAAGTATAATCACATTCAAAAAAAAATATAACAATTAACAAGTATAACCAATTTGACACCTATAGCTTTAGCCTGTCCAGATTACATGCTCCAGCAACATTGCTGTCAGGATCTATCTCCATCTCAACAACAGGCATTTATCACATAAATTTACACGATCAATACTGACTTTTTGGAGAGTTCAGCTTCTTTTTTTACCAAAATGGCAATATCTGAAAACAAATTTACCATTTCACTCAAAAACAGTAACTTCTCCGTTCCAGCTGCAAGAAGCAACAACATTTGGCATCACAGGATGGAAGACGGCATCTACGCAAGCTTCATCATATGGCTTGATCTTATTGTTCAGGTGACCTTATTTGGAATTGTAAAAGCAGATATGTCCATCGGAGGACCCACTTACAATGATAGTCCCATCCAACTTGAAATTGCATTTGTGGGGAATCCGGTCACACTATATTTATCCAGTCTGAAAGGAGGGGAAGTAGAGAAGATTGCTATGTTAGTTTCCATTTGATTTTGCAATAAAGTAGGCATCAGAAGTGTGGGATCGTATAGAGGGACAGGTATAGGCTTCACTGTAGACCTGAAAGAAATCCCTCGGAGAAGCTTAGCATTATTAGTACATTATATCATGTCGAGAGTACAAATGATGTTGCATTCTTGCATCAAGATTATAATATTTGAACAGCAACTCAAAGCATTAATGGATCTTGGTTTCACATTATCCTACAACTTGGTCCTCCTTGAATATCTGAGTTTCAACTCCTTTTTCAACATCAGTTGGCCTCGAAGAGCAGTCATATCCACATGAGAGCACAGAGAGCCCATTATGTGACCACTTCACATCTTTTACAGCAGCAGTGTGATGAGTGAATACGCGCACTTTCTTATTACCTTTACTCCAAACACTCCATATGCAAACAGTTTGATCCAGGCCAACAGATGCAAGGTGAGCTGAAGACTAAACACTTTATTCATAAACCGGGATATGGGGTGTTTTTTGCTCACTCTCTTCATGGCCCTTCGTTCTGTTTGGGCTTTAGCCGCTTAGGACCTTTCTAGGTGTCCATAAAGCTAATATTTTTAATATGGAGTATCAAATTTATCGTTTTACATGCTCTAGCCTTGTAATCTCTAGATATCATATATGCATTTAAAGAATAATATCAATAATTAAAATGTATCTATGAGTTTAGAGTTTTTGGTCGAGAGAAATCAAATAGTTCAACTTAATAGTTTAACATAGTACGGAGTTGTATATTTTAATATATCACGTGTGATTCACACGTTTGGCTTATCTTTAATTAGGCATGGAGCTGGGCCGGCCCTGGTTCTAAGTAATTGAAACCCCGTACTGACCCAGTAGAGTTCTATTCTGTTCACCCCCCTTCATGGAGGGTGAACACCACCCCCTCCCTCCAACACATGACACTTGGCAAGACTTTTAAATTTTGCAATTGTAATGCCAAGTGTCGTGTGTTGGAGGGAGGGAGTGATGTTCACCCTCCATGAAGGGGGTGAACAAAATAGAACACGACCCAGTATGCATTAGTACCAGTCCCGGTTGGTCCTAGGTCGGACCGCCTAGCCGCCTAGGCCACCCAAGTCCAGTCCATCCCTATTTCAATTGCCATTGAATGATGATGCATTGTTATTAAAACTATTATTAAGAGTTAGAGCCCATTTGGTAACCATGTTTTTTCGACTTATTAGTCAATATTTTCACCAAACGCGTAAATTTTGATTCTACGCGCTGAATTGTGTAATAATAAGAAAATGTAAGGTTGGAGTTACTTTTCTGGATGTATTGGTTGAAGTTACAATCAAGGATCATTTTAACTATTTTTTCTTTATTTTATTAATAAAATATATTTTAAATATTTTTTTTCACAAATCAGTATATTCAACCAATGCAACCAGAATTTCATAAATTTCAACAAAATCAGCTGATTTTGGCATTACCAAACGAGCTCTTATTGTTTCTGTCAATTTCGTGAAATCATTATTGTGTTGTATATATATTTATTTATTATATGTGGTTGTAGTTTTGAAATTTTCAAGAAAGCATTATTAAAAGGGAAAATGGAAACTAATAATCCAACCTTTTAGCGGTCTTCTTACAATAGTCCCACCTTTTGATTATTCATGAATAATCCAACCTTTGCACCTCATCTTCATTCACTGGTCCCTGACCGGTTGATGACCTGCTATTCCAAGTTATTTTCTTATCTTTGCAAACCATTATACCATAAATCTCACCTTTCACAAAGATAATATTTTGCAAAGATAAGAAAATAACTTGGAATAGCAGGTCATCAACCGGTCAGGGACCAGTGAATGAAGATGAGGTGCAAAGGTTGGATTATTCATGAATAATCAAAAGGTGAGACTATTGTAAGAAGACCGCTAAAAGATTGGATTATTAGTTTCCATTTTCCCTTATTAAAACTTAAATATAAGCCGTAAGGACAAAGCCACTAAGGAGTAGCAAATGAAAAGTGTTGTGCTATAGGCTATCCCATTTGGGGCCTTTGGGGTACCCCTTTTTTATTCACACTATTTGTGGTCCAAGTAAGACCACATTTAAAAGTGTTGCTCACTTAAATGTGTTGTCTCATGTTTTGTCACACAATAGGAGGGGGTAAGAATGAGGTACCTAAATATACCATTGTTGTCCCATGTCTTCCAAAAAGTTTTGTGAGCCGCCATAATTGAAACAAAGTTTTGTACGCACAGACAGAGTATAAAAAATTTACAAAGTACAATGCAAATTTAAGTAAGCACCAATAGTCAGGGACTCAGGGACAAATTCGTACAACTCTAAACAAATCTGCAATGAGCACAACCAATAGACAGGACAAACTTGTAGTCAAGAAGCTAAGTTGCTTTCACCCTCTTTAGAGGTTTGCTTGCCCCCCACTCACCATCAACAAAACATACCTTTAATCACTGTTAGCCTACATCACAGACAGAGGATAAAGAATTTACAAAGCACAATGCGTGTCTCATGAACATAGAAACTTTTTGAGTTACAAAAATGCAAGTTTTAATGAATTCAAGTCAAACTAGAATATAAGGTCTTATCTAAAGAATGTAAGCATACAAGGCGAGTCTTTTAAAGGGAATTATCTTTTGACTCACAATTAATTCATAGTTTCAACTCCACTTGTGGTAATTTAGTTTAAAACGGTCATTACAAAATATCAATCAATTATATCAATGGAAATACTAAACCACCTTTAACTCGAAGGAGGCCGCACCACCTTCAACCAAAAAATTGCTAATCATACGACACATCTTGTCCATAAATTTATGCCAGTCCTTCCGAGGCTGAAAAACAAAATAAGTCAGCTATATATTAAAAAAAATCATGTTAAAATAACTAAACAATATATATTAATTACCAATTGCGTCTAAACTGAGGCAAAAGTTTAAAAGTCAATTCAAACTTATTTTCCATTACTTTCATAGACATAACAGAATAGTCTACTCTTTCTATAAACTCCTTAAATGTTGTTTTAAAAATATTTACTAACCTATCAACCAAGTCAAATGACTTTGGTTGATTAAATGTTAGTGCCCTAACAACAATGAAAGACTCGTCAGCGACCAACTCCACGTCCTGTAAGACAGAATATGAATTTAAAAATAACAATAATAAACAAAGCTAGACATAATAAATTTAACATAAACTTCTTCATTAAATTTAAAATTAGGGATTGATACTAATCTGACATCATGTTCTTGAACAATGGTTCGTGTCAGACTTGTTTGTTGTACCCAGCCTTTAACCTTTCCAATCTGGAAGAAGAAAAACACATTGAAAAATACATTTAAACGACGAAACAAAATTAAATATTTAAGTTATTGACTTATTCATTACGATTTCATGAAAATAAATTTGGAGTCATCCAAAACTTACACGAATCATATCATTATTATATGTATAGAAGTCATCCAACTTCATGCTAATCCTACTACCAACACACTTCAAAAGATCATTTCCCCCAGATATAGCCAAAGCCCCTATGATAAACAAACAATACATTATTCTAATAAAATATAGATAAAAGTATTTTAATAATAGAGACCACAAATCCAATGTGTGGAAATTAAAATATTTTGGGACTAAGGTAAGTTATGGTCTGTATTATTAAATTACTTTTATCTATATTTTATTAGAATAGTGTATTGTTTGTTTATTATAGGAGCTTTGGCTATATCCGGGGGAAAGGATGTTCTGAAGTCCGTTGGTAGTGGGATTAGCATGAAATTGTATGACTTCTATACATATAATGATCTGATTCGTGTCAGTTTTGGATGAGTCCAAATTTATTTTTCATGAAATCGTAATGGATAAGTCAATAACTTAAATATTTATTTCTATTTCGTCATTTAAATGTATTTTAAAATGTGTTTTTCTTCTTGCAGATTCGAAAGGTTAAAGGCTGGGTACAACAAACAAGTCTGACACCAACCATTGTTCAAAAACATGATGCCGGATTAGTATCGATCCCTAATTTTAATTTAATGAAGAGGTTTATGTTAAATTTATTATGTCTAGCTGTATTTATTAGTATTATTACTGTTATTTTTAATTTTAAATTCATATTTGTATTACAGAACGTGAAATTGGTCCGTGACGAGTCTTTCATTGTTGTGAGGGCACTAACATTAAATCAACCAAGGTCATTTGACTTGGTTGATAAGTTAGTAATTATATTTAAAACTACATTCAAGAAGTTTATAGAAAGAGTAGACTATTCTGTTATGTCTATGAAAGTAACGAAAAATAAGTTTGAATTGACTTTCAAACTTCTGTTTCGGTTTAGACGCAATTGTGAATCGGTAATTAATATTAATATATATTGTTTAATTTTTTTAATATGCAATTTTTTAATATATAGATATATAGCTGACTTATTTTGTTTTTCAGCCTTGGAAGGACCGACATAAATTTATGGACAAGATGTTTCATATGATTAGCGACTTTTTGGTTGAAGGTGGTGCAGCCTCCTTTGAGTTAGAGGTAGTTTAGTATTTCTGTTGATATAAGTGATTGGTATTTTGTTATGACCTTTTTAAACAAAATTATCACAAGTGGAGTTCAAACTATGAATTAATTGTGAGTCAAAAGATAATTCCCTTTAAAAGACTCGTCTTGTATGCTTACATTCTTTAGATAAGATCTTGTATTCTAGTTTGACTTGAATTCATTAAAACTTGCGTTTTAGTAACTCAAAAAGTCTCTATGATCATTAGACATGCATTGTACTTTGTAAATTCTTTATCCCCTGTTTGTGATGTCTCGCTAAGGATGTTTTCTTTTGGACTGTTTTTAGTCCTAGACCAAACCAGACCAGACTTAAACAGACCAGACCAGACAAGACCAGACTTAAACAGACTAGACCAGATCAGACTTTCTTAGTTATAAATACACAGGGACCAGACGTTTACCAGACCAGACGTTTACCAGACCAGACCAGACTTAAACAGACCAGACCATACCAGACCAGCAAATTTCAGTCCAAAAGAAAACATCCTAACAGTGATTAAAGGTATGTTTTGTTGATGGTGACCGGGGAGCAAGCAAACCTCTAAAGAGGGTGAAAGCAACTTAACTTCTTGACTACAAGTTCGTCCTGTCTATTGGTTGAGTTAACTGCAGATTTGTTTAGAGTTGTATGAATTTGTCACTGAGTCCCTGACTATTGGTGCTTACTTAGATTTGCATTGTACTTTGTAAATTCTTTATCTTGTGTCTGTGCTTACAAAACTTTGTTTCAATTATGGCGGCTTACAAAACTTTTTGAAAGACAATATCCCATTCAAAAATGGTATAGGTACCTCAATTTGGGTACCCGATTCTTACCTTCTCCTATTGTATGACCAAAAATGGGGCAACACATTTAAGTGGACAACACTTTTAAATGTGGCCTTATTTGGACCACAAATAGTGTGAATAAAAATGGGCATCCCGAAATGGGATACCTATAGCACAATTCTATCTCATTTGCTTCTCCTTACTCTAACAAGAGTGGAGGAAGTGGCCAAGTTAATGGAGGAGAGAAATCTGATGTTGGACGAACTGAAATCTAATCTGGCCATCACTCAGAATAGGATGAAACAACAAGCCGATAGACACTGAAGGGGGCTAAAAGTGGAGGTGGGCGATAAAGTGTATTTGAAGATCCAACCATATAAACTCAGGAGCCTAGCAAAGAGGATGGATCAGAAGCTATGTCCAAGATTCTATGGACCATCTGAGGTAACTGAAGATTGCCTGAAGATTATGCAGTTCACCCGTCTTTCATATCTCACTGCTGAAGAAATCAGTGACTTCTAACACACTTGCACACCTTTCCAGCCACTACCCAAATGTCTATCTCAAGAGTGGGAATTTCCGGAGAAAGTTCTGGCCACCAGGGTGAGTCCTACAGGGGAAACTGAGTTGTAGGTGCATTGGAAACATTTACCCAATTTTGAAGACTCGTGGGAACCCATGCAAAAGTTTAAGCAGCAGTTTCCAGCAGTCCACACCTTGAGGACAAGGTGGAAGTCGAGGAGGGGAGTAATGATAGAGACATGGATAAGGGGACCGGAAGCAATGGAAATAATAAGCCCATTAATATAAAATATTTTGATAAAGTGTACAAAAGAAGGGATGGGGCAGAGGTTGTAACCGACTAACCTAGTGGGCCAATAGTTTAAGGGGCTTATTAATAGAAAGGGAGAGGGGAGTGAGAAGGCAGGCAGATTCTGTGATTAGGCTGGGAGAGCGAGGCACTGTCAAATTTGTCCTCTAGTACCTTTTTATATTTTCTGCCATTATTGTAGCTTCCAGAGTTCTGTTTTCTAGCAGGATTCTTATCTAGTAGTAATATATTGCTGATTTCTGATGCTTTTGTTGAGTCTCTAACACATTATTGCAATGGTTAAAATATGAAAAACCGGAAAAACTATTATTTCTACACTTTTGAAAGAAAAATATATCGCTAGCTTTTTTTTCGAACAAATGTCACTAACTTTTAATTCATTCATATACCTTTCTTCTACTTTTAATTCCTACCTGACTGGCCACCCATGCCCTCACCTGACCCCGGCCCCACCACTGTCTCCAGCAACCACTAGCGGCCACTGCTTGCTGAAAGTGCCTGCAGGCAGAAAAAGTCACTGGAAAAAATTTCTGTCGGTCATAGTGACATGTTCCATGACGACAGTGAAATAGGTGGCATTAACAATGACACCATCAGTAACTCACAATGAGAAAAGAAAAACTACTAGTGATATAATAAACGGCTAATGACATTCATGACTTTCCAAATTTAATACCTTTTTACTCACACTATTGTCCATATGAAAAACGTAGTCACTTTTGTTTATATTGAACTTCAAAATATAGCTGTGATTTGTGCTTTGATTGATTACAATTTTGCAATCGGAAGGCGACCTTCGAAATCGGAAACAAGCACTTTGTCACGGTGCGTCAAAATAAATTCAATACTAGCACTAATACGTAGTATAGTGAAGTAGAGTTCGTATCCAGGGCCGGTCCTGACCATTTCTGGGCCTATGGGCGGTACACTATTCTGGACCTATGAGTCTATGACCGTATACTTAGTTGAAATAAGAATTATAATAAAAATATCCAATGAAGTTCATAAAATAAAATAAAAAATCACTTTATTATTATTATTATTTAAGTTACATATTTGGGGAAAAGTAACAACACAAGTATCGGATAAAAAGAAAAAACATCAGTAAAAAATATTTCTCGTAGACCAATATGAAGCAAATAATCAATATCGCTAGCTTCATAGGCAACCTTCTTTCTATTAATACATGACAAACAATAAAATTGCCACATATAACAACACTAAACTTTTTTTGAAAGGAAATATGAAAAACATATCACTACATATTGAATTCATAAGTTGAGAATGATTTATTGACCGTTGATAGGAGTCTAAAGTTTGAAGTCTCGAAAGAATGAAGGTTTTCAAAGAGACAAAATGTATGGCCGTCAAGAACACTCGCGCAAGAAGATTGCCAATTCGACGTCATCTAAACTACTATTAGGAACTAAGATATAGTTTATTGAAATTTGGAAGCAAATAAATAATTGGGATGAGATTTGAGAGGGATGGGCTCTAAAATAATTATATAAATTTGTTATGTTATAATTAAATGAATAAAAAGCCTTTACGGCTAAAGAGATGTAAAGACTACAACTGATCCTACTTAAAATTAATGTATATATTCTTTTTTTGATGCAACAACAATTGTATTGCTTTTAAGAACTACAACTGATCCTACTTAATATTAATGTATATATTCTTTTTTTAAACTTGCCTCTGTTTAAAACTTTTTATTTACATTTTAAATTTTCAAATTGTCAACAAAATCAAACATTAGGAATAATTAACTGACCTTAAGAATTAAAAAAACAAGCCTACTAACACTATACATAAGGAAAAATATTTGGGCCTATTTTTTCTTCTATTTTTTTCCGGGCCTAGGGCGGTCGCCCCTCTTGCCCTCCCCCCAGAACCGGCCTTGTTCGTATCCACATGGAAAGGAATAATTCTCTTTTTATAAAACTAGTAAATAAAAGGGGGTTTAGGATTGAATGATTTAATTTAATTAAATACAAAGATGAACAACTTCTATGTGATTTAATTCAAAGATAAAAAGGACTTGACATTGCTACTTTCCACTTGTTGATATATTTTAGTCGATCATTGTTATATCTATAACTTATCCCCTCTCGAATACTCAATCGAGGAGTATATCCAATTCATCGAGGGTAGTTATTAACAACGACCGTTCACTAATAACCCTTACTATTAGTCAAGTATAGAACACCGCCATATACCGACTTGATAGTAACATTTAATCTCTTAACTCCTTGATGAAATCAATTGAGATTGATAACTTCAACACAACGGTTTCGGTTTAACCAACAAAATTAATCTCTCTTAAGTTTATTAACCACGACCGTGCATTAATAAACCGAAGTTACTTACTTGTGAAACCATCAACGATTAACCATCGGTTCGTTGAACGTTTGTAGTAGTAATTAATGTTGAGATGTTAACTAATTGTCATCTTAGCAACACTCCCCATCATTAACATAGAGATAGATTAAGGGAAGAATTAATATTCAAGGAAGAAGATTAAATATGAATAATCCTACTATAACTAATGTCAAGATGTTATCTAATTGTCATTTTAGCAACACTCCCCAACATTAATATATAGAGGAAGAAAATAAATACTACTATAACTAATGTCGAGATGTTAACTATCTTAGCAATACTCCCCAACATTAATATATAGATAGATTAAGAGAATAATTAATATTCAAGGGAAAAAGTTAAGAAAATAACTCACAACTTTAATAATCAACAAGCTTCAAGAGCAACACCAAGAAATGGAAGTTTAGCTCCTCATTTGGAGACTAAACATGCTCTAAAAATATAAAAGAAATACTATTCTAAACTGAGCTTAAGAGTATGGAAGAAGGGATGATTAAAAGTGAAGGAAAATGTGGCTATTTATAGGTGTTTTCAACACCTTTGGCCGGGTACCCGACCGGGTCAAGTGCCCACCCGACCAGGTGCATGTCAAAATCAAATAATCCGCCATGTTCTCATGCTTCTGCACGTCGTTTGGTCCCGGGTCATGTCTGACCCGACCGGGTGGGGTAGGGGACCGGACCGGGTGAGTGCACTTTCCAGGCACTTTCGGTTGTTGAATCAGACCCGGCCGGGTGACGTCTTATGCCCGGTCGGGTATTTGCTCCTGGACAGTCAAAATTCTTTTTTCTTCACTTCAAAGTCCCCCTTTTCAACACCATAATTCCTAATTCTACTTTACAACTTATAAATGAGAACTAAAATACAATTAAACTAAAATCACACAAATGTTTACTAACTAAATAAAACGATAAACAATACACACAAATCAAACATAAAAACATACATTTATGCACTACTAATTAGTGCATATCAATTGATAGTTCTTCTAATATAAGCTTTTTGTAACTGTAGTATAACAAACAACTTGGGGGTCTGGCAGGTACACGAACCTATTTGAGTGTCACGGATAGCCAGATGTGCAAATTTGTGATATTAAGTTAAATAATAAACTATGAAGTAGAAATACTTGATCATTTGTCTCAATAACGGTAACTACATACTCTGTATTAATTACTCCCTCTGTATTTTAAAGATCACTACATTAATCTTTGGCGCCATATTTAAGGGGGAAATAGTAGGGGTAATGAATAGTGTAGAAAAGGTAGTGAAGAAGATAAAAAATAGGAATGAGAAGATAAAAACTAGAAAAAGTAAGGGTAGTTGGGTATTTTTAAAGTAAAAACTTATCAAAAAGGGAAAGTATAACATACTTTTAAATACTCCGTACATCCCAATAAGATTGTAAGAAAATCAGAATAACCTGTAACTGCTGTTGAGATATGATCAGAGGTATTCCCCTTTTACTCCCAGGTTAGATAAAGACAACGACTATTAATTGAACCAGTTGAGCTCAGATATGCAGGATGATAAGGCCTTCCGAACTTGGACATTCCCAGAGTCCATACCAAGTGCATCTTCATATAGTCTTCTAACCTTCTCTCTACTTCTTTTGGGCCGTAGGCAAGATCATTGTTGTAAGGCCGCACCCCATCTAAACAGTGCTGTAACGAGCAACATTTATAAAAAATTCATATATTTGATACATCAGCTCAAAGGGCACTATTCTTTTTATTTTTCCTACCTGATTTTAAAGATTGAAAAGGCTATATACCATATTTCTGCTCTAACAAGAATAAATGAATAATGGTAAAAATAAATGTTCATATATTTTAGTTCATTACCACTAAACGACGTCAGAACCATGCAAAGATAAGCAATAATTATTCATGTAATTAATTTTGATTAATTTGTTCCTTATGTCTCCAGTTTAATGCGTGTTCTTAAACTTTGTAAACTGGGCAATGAAGACATATACATAGGAATGGCTGGAATATATATCAAGATATATAAGCTGCCCAACTCCAAAACTGAAGTTAATGGAAGGATAAATGTGAATGTGGACTAACAGTTGATGAATGAACAGAAGTTTTAAACATACCATCAGGTGCATAATTATTACTTTTAGACATCATTGCATCAAATTTATCAATGGCAGCTAGGGATGGTAACGGGGCGGATCGGGGACGGGTACACATAAAATCGAAACCGCCCCGTTGGATAAATGTTTGCCCCAAAACCGCCTCATTACTCGTTTGGGTAATTTTTATTTGAACCGTACCCGCCCCAACAGGGAATCGGTTTATACACGGGTAACTGTTTGCCCAAATGATATCAAATAATTAATTTCTAATCCTACTTGTTATTTATATATTCGAAGCACCCCAAAACATACAAAAGTAAATATTTAAACAATCAAACAGACAGGCCTAAATTCAATAGTATGACATGCACCTAATATCTCTTGTAACATAATAAAAAAGTAGTAATCATCTCATAATCCAAATTTCAAAACCTGGTTTAGGCCTATATTTAGTTCTAGGTCTAAAAAAGTAGTAATCCATCACAAAAAAAACTATTTTAGGCCTAAAAAAGTAATAATTCATCGCAAAAACAATGTTTTAAGCCTAATTCGCAAAAACTGTTAGAGTTTTTTGAAGTGGGTTTCTAGTGTATTATTCTTTATATACGTATATGATATATACTACGGATTGGGTTTCTGGGGTACAATTTAGTATACACAATTTAGCATATATACTTATTATTCTTATATAAAAAGATACTCCCTCCGTCCCACTAACAATGGGACAAGAGGGAGTGACATGCAAATCTATAAAAAGTGGTTTATGTGGTTGATATTGAATTGATAAAGTAAGAATAAAGTAAGAATGATTTATAGCCACAAAACTTCGCCAAATAAGGTATGAGACAATCTTAGTGGGACGGACCGAAATGGTAAAATGTGACAATCTTAGCGGGACGGAGGTAGTAATTTATTAATAATGATACGGATCGGGTAACGGTGCAAGTACCTGCACCATTAATGAACGGAGCGGTTTTGGGGCGGATAACGGGGCAAATTAGTATAGAACCATAACCGCACCATTATCCATTTAAAAGTTTCGGATATTCCCCGCCCCATACCCATTCCCCAGTCAAACCGATTTTCTCCAATTTGACCAAATTGGTCCGGTGCGGGTATCCAACGGGTCGTCTGAAATTGCCATCTCTAATGGCAGCCAAGAACACCTTGTCGGCACTACGTGCTGCACTTTAAAATTTGAACATGTACATCATATATGTGTGTCAACCAGGTACTCTGTTCGGATAGTATGAATTGCTTAGAAAAAAGGATGAAGGAGAACAATGTTCGCAAACGATGTTGCTAGAATAATGAAGTCGTGGTGTATGCAGATTTACGAAACAGCCATTAATTGTTATGCTGGAGAGTGCTTAAAGGTCCAATGTCTAAAATCAATTGCGCTCGGAAAGAGAGAGCAAGACCCCACTTATACATCGCTCTCATATCGTTCCCATCAATCAACAGAGCCAGCTTATACTGCCTTCCTGCCTTAATCAGCAATTCTTCACACTCTTCACACACATTACCCAGATAAGATGCAATTTCCTCTTTCCTCCCATATTTATTACATTGTGCATTTGCTCTAGTGAGTAGTAGCATCCTCAAATCACGGCTGATCCTCAGTTTTAGCTCTCCATGGACAAGGTATGTGTTTCCCAAAAGGCCCACAGCCAATGAACTCACAGGTCTAATGCGTGTAGCTTTTGAAAGCACAAGTGCAGACTTTTGGAGTGCACCATCTGCAATCTTAGCATCACCCTTTTGAACAACCTTTAGCTTCTTCCAGAAGAGCATTAGCTTCAGAAATGTACTTATTGAACTATTGAAGTTAATATCACCCTTGCCATGGTCTTCTTCACCCATCTTTGGCCCATTAAGCACGCTATAATTTCCTTTTAACTCTTTGACCTCTTCCTCTTACCGAAAAGAAGAAACAGTTTCAGAAAACTCCACAGAGTTGCTTAAGAACTCATCTGATGTCCAAATCCCATCTTCTCTAGTATAAACATTGTTAAGAGAGATTCTCTGGTTCCTAATGTAATGGGAACTTTTAATCCAATAACCATATTGTTGACTTCCAAAAGCCGTATAATCCATTTCGGGCGGATTTGCATTGCCATCAGCATCTGAGTTTGATCAAGTACTTGCTTCCTTATTCGATATATTGTTTTTATTTCTATCATAAGCAGAAGAGCGGAATATATTCCCATCCATTAGCTCATCAACTTTGGAACTTTCACTTTATTATACTTCAAATCTGGTTTTTCTGGAAACAGGCCTGAAAAACCCAGGGATACCAAACTGATTATCTCTTGGATCCTTCTTTTGCCTACTCTGCTTTTGATTTGAGCTTCTTTCCACTTCCTGGTTTCTAATTATTATACAATCATCAAGGATACCTCTAGCATTAACAGTTAATGAATTAACAGACTCTAAGTTGTTGATGAAACATTCTAGGTCACCCACTGTAATGTAATTACTTTCAATACTCTTCTTAACATCATTCTTCAAATTCACAATCTTAGCATCAAACTCTTTGATTACATCTACCAAAGAACTCAATTTATCAACAGGAACTCCATTAAAATCATTTTTTTGCCATATTTTTGGTCTTGTTTGAGCTCATCTTACCTCCATTGACAAGCCCAATTGTGAACCCAAGAACAAATACCATCATACAAGCAGAGAATGCAATAAATGATGAAACTATGACTCTAGAAACGGCTAACGCACAAACAAACCCCAACACGAATACAGAGACATGTTTTTTATCATTAATTCCCAGTGAGTTCAGAAGACTGTGAAGGTGGTTCGACTCACCTGAGTCACTGAAGAGTTGGGGAGTGTCCCAGCCACCATAACCCAAAGAGTCGGAGCTTGTAACGGCACAGAAAGATAATAACTTCGGAATCCTCGATTGGTTTCTGGTAAAGGGCATGCGACTATTGGGGAGTGTCCGGGGATTTAAGGAGAAATTGAAAGATCGATTGTGCGGTGTACACAACTATAGGTGTGCAGTCTGCACACATTTTTGTTATAGACGGCCAGACGGGGAATTGTGGGTAGGGTTTGGTTCCAATATTTGTTAAAAGTTTAGTTCCTATTTTTTTTTTCATGATTCGGTTCTCTGTTTTTGAAAAAGATACTGTCATATATCATTTTCATTTTCATTTACCCCAGTACCGCAAAGGTTCCCACTTACGGTGGGTTAAGGGGGGGTCGGATGTACGCAGTCTTACCTCTGTACTGAAGCACAGAGAAATTGTTTTCGGATGACCCATAGTGAAAATCGCGTCCAAAATTGCATGGGCTGACTGCTACTTCATAACAAAGAAGGGCAGACAGTTTAGTGAGCCATTTTGCTTTATTCCATCATATTCTTAAGCCAAAAAATAATGAATCTTTGGCTCCATTGCAAATGATGGAAAATTGATATATTACCCGAAATAGGACTAAAAATGTTTGAAAATTCCAAAATAAGACTGCATGTTTTTATTCCCAAAATAGGATTAATTACTGTCATGTTTTGGTAGTACCAAACTTCAAACATGGCAATATTTTCCAAACTTGGCAGTAATTACTCCTATTTTGGGAATAAAAAACATGACAGTCCTATTTTGAAATTTTCAAACTGTTTTAGTCCTATTTTGGGAACTTTCCCATTAAAATTATGTATATTTGTTATGAGTATACACTACTCCGTATTTAAAACTATTATTCTCTTTAAGTAGTTCAACATATTTGTATTGTAAGTTAAAACGTTGAATGATTTTTTGGAAAAAATTTAGTCATCATTTGTAAGATTTTTTTCAAAGAGTAGGAACCGTTAATTCACAAAAACGGTTTTTTCTTATCGGTTCTATAAAATACTCTGTAATTTATAAAAACGGAAACGTTAGTAAAATTTCATATTTTCAAACGGTTCCACTTGCTTAGGAATCGAACTGGTCTTAGGCCTAATTGTGGGTATCTGGAATTCTGGATAACATGCGGATATATAAGATGGGCGAATAATATTAGCCGAATTCTTTTTTTGCATAAGTTTTAGGGAGAGTTTGCAATAGCTTTTAATTATAAAAAAAAACATTTTTTGAAGTGATTTTAGAAAAAGTGTTTAGTAGGAACCGTTAAATGACAAAAATGGTTTGGTTCCTTATTGGTTCTATAAAATACTCCGTAATTTATAAGAACAGAAACGTTAGAAAAATTTCATATTTTCAAACGGTTCCACTTGCTTAAGAATCGAGCTGGTCTTAGGCCTAATTGTGGGTATCTGGAATTCTGGATAACATGCGGATATATAAGATGGGCGAATAATATTAGCCGAATTCTTTTTTTTGCATAAGTTTTAGGGATAGTTTGCAATAGCTTTTAATTATAAAAAAACATTTTTTGAAGTGATTTTAGAAAAAGTGTTTAGTAGTAAAAGTTTTGAGAAAAAATGATTTTGAAAAGTGAAAATTGGTAGTGTTTGGTAAAATAAGTGCTTTTTGTGTAACAGTAACAGTACAAAGCACTTTTCAGCTAAAAGTCAAAAATTATTTTTTAAGTAGAAGTTATCGTTTGAAAATACTCATTTTAGTATTTTAAACCAACCGCCGAAAAGTGTTTTTTTAAAACTATTGCAAACACTCCATAAAGATGAAGTGCATTTGTTTTATGGAATTGGGGTGACTCTGTATAATTATTAATAAAGTAATTGAAAATGTAAAAAAAGTAGTTAACTGCTGACCAGTTAACTGAAATATACTTCAGAATAAGTCAGACTGTCTGCAATAAAATGTACCGGTTAACTGCTGACCCCTGATCAAAAAGTCATCCGGCCAAATAATGCAGCGGATAAGAGCCAAAATTTTGGCTGAGAAGCAAGTACTGTTCACTCTATGAATGAAGAAGCTCCACCGTGGAAACTCCCAAGAAGAAAATAAAGGACATTAAATACTTCGTACATTGTATTAATCCAGGCCACCAATTCGATACACTTGGAACCGGTTGTCTTCGTCATTTTCACTCAGCAAGCCGTCGGCAAACAGGAGAGAACAACGGCCAATGAAGAAAAAAAATCACAACTGAACAGTGGCGGTGCTATTTGGAGGAAGAAAATAAGAAATTGGCTATCACATCTGGTGAAGATTCAAATCAGTGGCCGCTCAAATATAATGATCCTTGTCTTCATTTGGAGATATTTTATGCTCCATACTCTTCTTTTGCTGCTATAAAAAGGGGTCGTTCCAGAGCTTAAAAAGACACCAATTCGGAGAGAAAACTCCTCCTTTCTTTAGCTTTGTTCATAGTAATAGCCATATAATAAAAGTGATTTTTCAAGAACACTTTCTGTAAATTTCAGTTTGTAATTTCCATTTCCAGAATTTTAGTTCTTTATATTTCAACAATCAAGTTCATTTGGGAAGTATCAGTCAGAATCATTTCCAGTTTAAGGATTTCAGCTTTCTCTATTCCAGCTCATCCATGATTATTTATGCCTTGGGGTTCTTAATCAAATACTCGTTTTATTTTCTTTAATCAGTTAAAGTTAATTATGCTTATCATCAGTTTTACTTTTATTTCATAATTATGTGTAACTAAATTAGTTTAGGCTTGAGCAAGATGTAACTTTTACTGTTAATGTTCATATGATAATAATTGGTTAAAACTATTACTTGGTTAATTTTAGGAGTGTTGGGTTGAATATTCTAATATGCTAAATACATTAATATTGGAAATGAATATCATCACGGGAGTGAAATTTCATTAAAATCCATTTAGTTAATTCACCCACTAAATTAACCCACGAAAGTGTTAAGGAATTTAGGATAAATTGATTTTGTACTTTTTATTGTCTTAATAAAATTACCGCGGGAGCGGAATTAATTTAAGATAGTGTAATCAACTAAGTCGTGGGAACGATTAGAAGATTACCATTTGTAAATCTTTTACACACCTAAAAGTAACTAAGTTAATTAGTTAAATCTTTATTATTATGAACATCAAAATAAAATTACTCTTAGCCCAAGCCTAATTTTCTCTATATCATTAATTGTTAAATTACCAAGTATTGTGATTTATTTTACTCATTTAGCAATTCTGCAATCATAAAAACAAAACAAACAAAGATCTGTTCACTTAGCTCCATTGCAAAATGTATCAATTTATGATTAGCTAAAAATCAATCATTAATTCTAGTTCTCTTTGTGAGACATTCTCTAGTGGAACGATACTCACTTACTCTATACTATATCGTTATAAGCCAATTAAGACATCATTTCCATTCACATTTTTACATCATTTCACACGACACATTTTGACTTGTCAGGAGGGAATACGTGGTATGGAGCATAATAATTTGATTAATTTCTAAGTATCCATTCATTTTCAATATCTAATAATTGCACGAAACCTATAAATATATTCCAGAAAACACCGCGTGTTAGGGAATGAAACCTCAACTTATTCTTTATCAACTGCTCGAAGATATTGATTGGCGGGCATTTTGATTTATTGTTCTTTTATTGGTTTACTAAATATTTTCTCAAGGACTTGGCATACTAAAGTGAGCATAAAAATCTCTTTGGGAATTTTTCTTATAGCGGTCGTCTCCCTAGGTATCTAGGGTTTGCTTTTCTTGCGCCGTTCTTCCTTCTCGATCGTGGAGGGAAGGGTCGTGCCTTGGCTTGTGTTCGTTTGAGGCAGAATTCTGCCTGGGTTTTTTTAGCACTGCTTCTTCGGCCTTGGTGGAAGCAATACATATCTTTGCTTTGGATTTAGTTTGAATTGCACGCAGTTCTAAGTAGTTTACATCCAAGATATATTCAATACTGGATCGCTGCCTTTACTCGGGTCATGGCTCTCTCGGTTGTGCTACCGGTTTCGGGTGGGGAAATTCCATCAAGCGGGGATTCCGGGTTCACTCGTGCTGTAATCGCAAGGGTTAAGGAGATGCCTTTGATTTTTGTGATGGTGGGTTTGAAAGGAATTTTTCAAGATGAAGATTTGGTTATCCGTCCCCCTCCTGAGCCACCGCCGAGGAGGACTTGCTGGGTGGTGGTGAAGAAGAAAACTAGTTTTGGTGTTTTTTTTGTTTATCTGTTTTGGTTATTTTATATTTGGATGTATTGTTTTTTTTCCTTTAATTTTGGTACTTTCTTTCATTGTAAGACTCTTGCATTAAGGTGGAGGGATAAAGAATCTGCGGTAACCGTCATTCGCTCTAAATTGCCCAAATTTGGTCTAGCGAGTTATACTGCTTCTTTACAGGTGGTTAGCTCTCAGTCTCGGCCACGGGCGGATGGTTATCTGTGGTTTTTTTCTAGTTCTGTACTCTTGCTGAATGCTACTTTTATGAATTAATGTCTTCTTCGAGCAAAAAAAAATCTCAAGAAACTATGTACATATGGAGTAGTTTTTAACATTAAATAATCACAATAATATGTTGTATCAAATTGAACTAAAAGTTAACCGTTACAGAAAATTCACAAAAGTATATGTTTCAGATAGTTGTGTCATGCATACTCTAATTAATGATGAATAATACAAGTTGTTTATGACAACATGTTGAATGTAACATCTCAAAAAGATCATTTACAACAACAACATTCATACCTTAGTCCCAAAAGATTTAGGAGTCGCCAAAATGAAGCTAGTCCCAAAAGATTTAGTAGATACCCCTACTACATAACGATCAAGCTAGAAACCCCAAAATCAAGAAATTTGACCAAAATTTTGGGGTCAAGTTTCATTGAAACCCTACGTGGCTACGTAATACATGACTGACCGAAAAATGTGCATTCATACGTTATTGGTTATAAACAAGATGTTGCTTATTTCTCATAATTTCAATTCCATTCCATTAGCCATCTTGCATCAAAGAAATGTCATTTTGGTTCAATGTTGAGTTCTTGTTGGCTGTTTGGCAATTTGAACCAATCATTGCTCGGCAAGAGTTAATTGAATTCCCCGCACATTTTGTTCTATAATCTACTCCGTATAAGAACATTACCCGTAATGCTAGCTATATATATACTCGCTCAATTACAGTTGTATAAGCAAGCACTAACAATCTTTCACCATTTAGAATATTAAACATTCAAACTGTCAATTTTCGATTTATAAAAAGCAATCATCACCTTCCCCACGATCGCAACGAAAGATTAGATACAAAGACACTGGTCGAGCTTTGGCGCATATAAGAGTAAAAAACTTAAACCACGTACAATAGTTTTTTATGGTATGATGATACTCTTCATAAGATTTTTTATGGTATGGTACTTTTTTTTGCAAACATGGTATGATACTTTTAAAGAGGCATTTTAGGTTGAATGGTGGAAAAAAATGTTTTTGGACAACGATACCATAGGTCGCACCCTCGCACGGAACTCATGATAAATATACTCCTTACACTTTTTTTGAAACCCCAAAATCAAGAAATATGACCAAAATTTTCAGGTCAAGTTTAATTTGCTTGTTTAAGTCTAACTTGATTTGTTTAGGGACGACACCTTCCAAAGTTCCAATGTAACTAAATTTCATTTGATCTCATTTATTAAAATATGATATGTTCTCACGTAAAACTTGTTAAATCTAAAGAACACGTCGTAAAGAGCAAAATTTGTGTAACTCATGGACCCGCGGTAGCAAGAGTATAGCATGAATCTATGATCCAATAACACTTCTCTCAGTAGTCTTTATCAAGTAAAACTCGTACTCACTCAAGCCGTTTATTTAGCAATTAATTAAGTTCCTACCTCTGTTCTAAAAAGCGTTTTAGGCGTACGATTAGTCCCCGCCTAAGCGCTAGGCGGTGGTCGGACGCCCCGATTTTCATCTAGGCGCTCTGACAAATTGGGTTGCCGTATAGGTGAATTTGTCAGCCGCCTATGGCGCCTAGTTGCCCGCCTAGAGCCCCTTATCGGCCGCCTATGCCCTCTAGATTCGCCAAACATTACTTCATTTTTTAATTTAAATTTTCTAAGTGATATACGTACTTTAACTTTAGCCATGAATATAAAGAAATGAAGTTGTAAATTAAGATAAAATTATGTATGTTTGTATATATACCTAAATTTTATCATTATTAATATTTATAACATAATGAAGTTAGCTGATTAGTTATTGATAAGTCCGTATTTAGACACGCATTTGATGCGTGTTCGGGTTGGATTTTGATGGTTTTCCCTAGCTTTAAGGTGTTGCAAGTCTCAATTTTAGCCCAAGTTATGTTTATCGGGCATTGGTTCGAGTTTTGTGTTGTTTGTAGTCAAAATCAGGGAATTTGGGCCCGGTACCGGCACTTGAGGAACAATCGGGATGATTTGAGAAGCATTTGAGAATGATTTGATAGCTTTGGAGGTTACCGGAAGATTCACGATGAAGATTTGAAGGAAAAAGAGCTCTAGGATTGGCTTCGGGATCAAAAGAAGACGAATGAAGCTTGAAAGCGACGATCAGAATGACCTTTTGTCAATCGTTCAAGCTTATCTCTTTGTAGGAACAACCAATGGACACGATTCAAGTTGCATAAGAAAGCCAACTTCAAGGGCTACAAATCATATGAAGACACCTTTGCGAGAATCTGAGAGGAAGAAGGTGAAAACAGACGATGAAGTCAGATGATCTCTGTTGCGATTTTAGAAAGACACCTTCCACCGTTTTGATCATATCTCTTGATTGGATGATTCAAACCACATTCGGCAAATTGGGGTCGATAGAGGACTTCATTATCTACAACTTTAATGAAGGAAGTTTTGTCAAATTCGGAAGTTTTACGCACGCCGTGCGTAGGGGAACGCACGACCGTGCGTCTGAGGCGAGAAAGCAAGGGAGACACTGCCAGCAACGCACGGCCGTGTGTGGGGGGTACGCACGCCGTGCGTAGACCCGGGTTACGCGAAATTGAATCCCAAATCGACCCAAATTCATATTTTTCATCCTTTTTCTATAAATAAGGCCCCCTAACCATATTTTGACGTTACGAACATTACAGAGAGGTCTAGGGACGAATTTAACACCGTTTTTACGCTATTTTCTTCCAAGACCCTGGGATTATTTGTAAGTTCATCTTTTTAATTAATGAAAATTATTTCTATTCATCTCAATTCTATTGATTCTTCAATTATGAATTGTGAGTAGTTTTAATTAGGGATTTGGGGTTGATGAAGGGGTTAATCATGATGTATGGCTAGATTCTTGTCGGTTTAATTGCATGAATGCCGTTTAATTTGTGTTTGAATAAGTTAATTGATATCTCTTGTAACCTAGACTGCAGCTAGAATTACAATTGCATGTAGAATAAATTAAGAGAGATCTAGTTTATTCTAGGACACATTCACACACACTTAATCGTTCGCTAAGAGATTAGTAGCGATTAAGGGGCCGTAAGCTCGCTCGTTTTGGCAATAATTAAGGATCTTGTCGCATGAGAGATCAGCCTGGTCCCCTAAATTATTGTACTCTACGCCGCGAGAGCGGTAAGAACTTAGTAATGATTAGCTAGGCTCAATTAAATTAAATTCATGTAATTAGGCCTGATCTGCCAGAAATCTGGTTAACCCCGGAATCAATTCCTATTCCCTTCGTCGTTAATTGAGAAGAAACCAATCTTTTATTTTATCGCTCATCTGCATTAGTTTAATTTTAATTCACCAATCAATCTCGCACATCGCATTTTAATTTATTTATTTCTATTTAATCGCTGAATTTAGTTAATCTTTAATTCCCTTTTGTCCGTCCCTGTGGAGACGATACTCGTACTTTCAACCACTTTACTACATCCTTTTTTAGTGCGAGAAAACACACGTCAGTTATCATATACTACGTATGATTAAATGTGATAATTAATCATTCATGTTTCTTAATGTATATGTATATATGTATTTTATACACACAAAAATACAATATCACTTATCATATTTATACAAAAATATAGATAAAAATGCATTTTCTATGGCTCCGACTAGTCACCGACTACGCGCCCGCCTAGCCGCCTAGGCGCAAGGCGTTGGACTGGCACCTAGCGCCTTTTAGAACATTGGTTCCTACTAACATCCTCAAGTGAAACTGTATTTATTAAAGAAGGAAATGGTTTTAAAATCAAAATCATTAGAATCCCTATTTCATGAACATAAAACAACAAAGTAGAGGGAATAAAAAAATCTACAACACTTGGCTAAATTAAAAGTGAAAACTGTATATACGGACTTATTTTCTGAAACCTTGATACTAACTTTGGTCTATACTTACAAAGGTTGTCTATGTTACAAGCTGCTTGTGTGCAAGATCTCATCACAGACCCTTGAATGAGTGGGAGGGTAAACTTTGGAAAGGTTGACTATGGGGTGTTTGGATCTAATTCTCAAAACTGATTACGCTCCTTCAGGGAGCAGAAGCAGAAGCTGGAGTGGTTGGGTGAAATTCCAGAAGCACTTCTGGAGCTCTAACTTACTCTCAGAATCAGTTTTTTTAGAAGCTGGGAGGTACCAACTTCTGAAAACTGATTCTAATTCTGCTTCTGCTTTTAAAAAAGAAGCAAAAGCAGAATCAGTTCCAAACACCCCCTATGTTTACGGTTTAGCAAAATACTAGGAAAAATATAAATATGCAAACTTTTATCCCAATTTAGAATTTTTTATTGAGAATTCTCAATTTTTTATTGAGAATTTTTTACATATACGAGTAAAAAACTTATACCACGTACAATACTTTTTTATGGTATGATGATACTCTTCAGAAGATTTTTTATGGTATGGTACTTTTTTTTGCAAACATGGTATGATACTTTTAAAGAGGCATTTTAGGTTGAATGGTGAAGAAAATTGTTTTTGGACAACAATACAATAGGTCGCACGGAAGTACGGAACTCATGATTAAAATACTCCCTACACTTTTTTGGAACCCCAGAATCAAGAAACGTACTTGACCAAAATTTTTATGTCAAGTTTAATTTACTTGTTCAAGTTAAACTTCATTTGTTTACGTATGACACCTTCCAATGCAACTAAATTTCATTTGATCTCATTTATTAAAATATGATACTCCGTATGTTCTAAGACTTCTAACGCAAAACTTGTTAAATCTAAAGAACACGTGGTAAATAGCAAAATTTGTGCAACTCGTGGACCCATGGTAGCAAGAGTATAAGACTATAAGTGTATAACATGAATCTATGATCCAATAACACTTCTCTCAGTAGTCTTTATCAAGTAAACTCATACTCCCTCAAACCGTTTATTTGCAATTAAGTTCCTACTCAACATTCTCAAATGAAACTGTATTACTAAAGGAAAAGCTTTGAAAATAGAAATCATTAGAATCCCTATTTCATGAACATAGAACAACAAAGTAGAGGGAATAAAAAAATCAACAACACTTGGCTAGTATATATAATACCCGCATGCTTTATGATAGCTAGTACGGAGTATAAACGATTAAAAGTGAAAATGGTAATTGAAGGAAATGAGGACATTCAAGTTCTATTTAGAATCCCTGTAAATACGGACTTATTTTTGAAACCTTGATACTAACTTTGGTCTATACTTACAAATAGTGGTGGACCGGTTCCGGGCCGGGCCCGGTTCGGGCCTTGAACCGGCCGGGCCTCGGTTCAAGGTAGGGGAGGCCCGGAACCGGCCCGGGTAACCCCGGGTCCGGATCAGGCCGGGCCGGGCCCGGTTCAATATATTTTTTTTTTTTGGGTTTTCCTAATCAACCCCCTACCCTCCCCCTCAACCCCAAACCACCTCAAATGGCCCAAAATAACCAATCCAACCCAAAAACTTAAAAAAAATTCAAAAAAAAAATTAAATCCGGCCCGGACCGAGCCCGAACCGGCCGGGCCGGTTCACCAAAATGAAGGCCCGGGCCCGGAACCGGTAGCCACCAGGCCGGGTCGACCCGGACCGCCCATGGGCCGGGCCGCCGGGCCGGTTCAAACAGTGACCGGGCCGGGCCGGTTCCGGGTCAGGCCGCCCGGCCCGAGTCCATCCCTACTTACAAAGGTTGTCTATGTTACAAGTAGCTTGTGTGCAAGATCTCATCACAGGCCTTCGAGTGAGTGGGAGGGTAAGCTTTGCACGGGTTGACTATGTTTACCGTTTGGCAAAAAACTAGGAAAAAATATAAATATGCAAACTTTTATCACAAGTTTGAATTTTTTATCGAGAATTCCACACTCCCTAAGACTTTTCTTGCTGAAAACTTGGATGTCTTTTTCCTGCTTTCACCTAGCCTTTAACTAGGCTTTAAAGAGTTTTGCTTTTCAACTAGCTTTTAAATAGGCTTTAAAGAGTTTGGAAAATCAATTAAAAAGACAACTAAAAAGAAAACATTAATTCAAAAAATTGCATTCAGAAAATAATATTGGAGTATCTCACATCTCTAAGGATCTGTGACATGTCTATCAAATTTGTTTGATTTATTTATCTCCCAATTTTGTTTGATTTATTTGTCTTCCAAATATTTGTCGATATGATTTGCCAGTTTATTCTTTAGTTTTTCACATTGCTTTCCCAAATCAAGTTCCAAATGTTATATAACAAGTATAACCAATTTGACATCCATAGCTTTTGGTTGTCCAGATTACATGCTCCAGCAACTGCTGTAAGGATCTATCTCCATCTCAAGCACAGGCATTTATCACATAAATTTACACGACCAATACTTGCCTTTCTGGAGAGTTCAGCTTTTATACCAAAATGACAAAATCTAATAACAAATTTACCATCTCACTCAAAAACAGAAACTTCTCCGTTCCAGCTGCAAGAAGCAACAACGTTTGGCATAACAGGATGGAAGACGGCATCTATGCAAGCTTCATCATATGCCTTGATTTTTTTGTTCAGGTGACCTGATTTGGAATTGTAAAAGTAGATATATCCATCTGAGGAACCACTTACAATGATAGTCCCATCCAAGTTGAAATTGCATTTGATGGGGAATCCGGTCACACTATGGCTTTCATACCTTTTATATTTATCCAGTCTGAAGGGAGGGGATGTAGAGAAGATTGCTATGTAGTTTCCATTTGATTGTGCAATAAAGTAGGCATCAGAAGGGTGGCATCGTATAGAGGGACAGGTATAGGCTTCACTGTAGACCTGAAAGGAATGCCTCCGAGAAACATAGCATTATTAGTATATTATATTATGTGGAGAGTACAAACATTGTTGCGTACTTGCATCAAGATTATACTATTTGAACAATAACTCAAAGCATTCATGGATCTTGGTTTCCCGTTATCCTAATGGTCTACTTGAAACCTAGAAAATGCTAGGGAGAAAATAGGGCGGAAATGATAGAGGGAGATTTCGGAAACAAGGGAAATTTAGTGGGGAAAAGAAATGGTTCAAACTCCAAACATCAATGTAGATATTTTCTCAACCTCATTTTATTTTTTTATTTCTATTATACTCCGTAAATACTTTGAGAATAAAAATCTAAATGTATGCAAAAAGTCAAAAGCTTTCATATATTTGATTTTCCTAAGCATTTTGCCCATTTCCCAACAATTTTCTGTGTTCCAAACATAGCATAAATGTACTTAATGATGATATCAATATGAACCGCGAAAATGACGGAAGGTTACACTGCGTAATAAATACCTGGTTGGATAAGGGAATTTCCCTAGAAATATCCCAAATGATTATTGAGTTTTCACTGATATTGCTTCCAGAAACATCACTCGAAGAGATCAACTGCTTGCCATCAACTGTGAATTCTACATCAAGTATTGGACCAAGATTCTTCTTATATTGATGGACAACCTTTCCGGTTCTAACATCCCACAGCTTAAGGCCACCTCTAGACCCACCAGACATGAATAGGTTGAAATTATAAGGATGAAATTTCACCACTCCTACAACTTGGTCCTCCTTGAATATCTGAGTTTCAACTCCTTTTTCAACATCAGTTAGCCTCGAAGAGCAGTCATATCCACATGAGAGCACAGAGAGCCCATTATGTGACCACTTCACATCTTTTACAGCAGCAGTGTGATGAGTGAATACGCGCACTTTCTTATTACCTTTACTCCAAACACTCCATATGCAAACAGTTTGATCCATGCCAGCAGATGCAAGAAGGTGAGCTGAAGGCTAAACACTTCAGTCATAAACCGGCAAATAGTGTAATAAACATCATCATTATTGATAAGCTTAGTAAGTAAAAATACAAGAACCCGGATACATTATACTATGTTAAATGCTAAACTAACCAAATTGATAAAATGGATTTACACACTCGCTTTTGAAGAGAGAATAGTGCTTGAATTGATATGAATGAGAGATCCACACGTGCAGAATATGTTGGGGTTATAACCAGAACTCAACTAATTTTGACAATAGGATTCATTCAAAGATAAAAATGAACATAAACTTGAATTTCAAATCCTGGAAAAGCATCTTCCCTCCTTTCTGCTTGGTTTGAAATGGCACAATAGCACATACCTAAGTGGACCCTCAAGCAAAAAAAAAAACCACCAATATTTCTCTTTTGAAGTTTTGGAGTTTCACTTTTTTAACTAATCGTTGGGCCATTAATACCAAACATCAACTCTATCTATTTAGAAAATGATACACAGAACAAAGCAACAGAAATAGTGTAACAATTCACATACAGTGTTACCCAAGTTTTCTATTACATTTCTATGCAACCCAAAATTTTTTAATACAAACTCCATACCAAACAATGATGACATTAATGGGGAATGTTGGAGAGAAAGTTTGTATAAAGTTAATTATGCATGGAATACTTACAATGACTTCTTGACCAATGCACAGTATTAACTGATCTTGAGTGCCCATCAAGAGCTACTGTAAGTCTCTCAGGCATTTGGATAAAGCGCTTATTTATGTTAGATTGATGCTTCAATGCAGATAAAATATTTTGAGGAAGATCTACAGCAGAAATAGGTCCCATCGCTGGAAAGAATTTGCATTTCAAGTTAGGCTACCGAAAAATGGTTGATAGAGAAAAATATAACAACCAAATAATCAACACCAACAGTCTTCAAGAAGTACAAAATACATTAGATTTTATTCTTTCACTAATAGAATAGTATGCAGCCTCATATAAACAGGTTTTCTGATATAGAATTGATAAATATGTGATAAAATGTTGGATAAAGTGGAAGAACTGGAAGGTATGGACAACTTTATTAAGTATATCTTTCATGTCTTTTGAATATCATGAGTTGGATTAAATATTCTTTTGCTAATTAAAGTGATATTATTTTTTAAACTTACAATTAAAGTGATATTTTTTTAATTTAAAAAGCCAATGAATTTTTATGAATGGCCTCCATAAAATAGCTCTTATCAAAGTGTAGGGGATATGAAGTTTTTGAAAATAAAACTACCCTTTGACAAACTACCCTTTTATGAAATGGCCTCCATTTAGTTTTAACAAATTTAGCATACACTTGAAAATATTACGCAAAATGCCATAGTTTAAGTGATTTAACTAAAATAACACCGGTCACAAATACCAGTTAATTCCGTAGAGGAGTTATCCTGGGTGTTTAATAACATACTCCGTAGTTTAAATGAAAATTGAGTCAGAATTCATTATTGAGTCATAATGAACCATTTGGTACAAAATATTCTCCTATCAGTTTCAGTTCAAACTGTTGTCATTGTACAAATGGTATCTTCTAAGCGTGGAATTTGCCAACTCAACTTTTTTCAAATAATGTTCACATATGATAAGCCCCGCTGCAGAAATCTTTTAACGGACAAGTTAGCGTAATTTATTCAAGTAACGCTAAACAGCAGAAGCTTGAGCATTTTTACTTTTTCAGTAACTAGGCATTTTGGATTGAAAATCTTACTAAATTAATCAATCCAACCATATCACCTCTTAGACTCTTACCAAAGTAAACATCCTATTAGTTGAAATCACATACTTGGTTCATTATTTGAGCTTCACATTACAAACCATACCTAATGAATTAAACTTAAGATATTTGAAATAACAGAATAATGTTCATTTGGATCAATTAAGAAAATCTTGTTCTTTTCTTCATTTTCCAACTAGCTCAAGAAAAAGAAGTAACCATACCTAATGATTAAGAGCATGCTTGGAACAACTATACAAAAATGTAGACTAAAGATGGCAACGGAAGTTGAGTGGATGCTCATGGAATGCAAGATGAGATTACTAAACGTGTATGGCAAAATGAGATGAAATGATAGCTGAAAACAATGAAAAGACTGGATACCTCAAAAGGTATATGTGTAATAACGTATTGATAGAATTAAATTAATCTAATTTTCCCCCCTCTGTTTGATGGTTGAAAGTTGGATGAGACATGAATACATGATATTTCATCTAATACCTAAGTGACTTGCCAAACATGCAGGTGCCTCTTTGGAGACCTGATAGTTGATGGTTTATAAACTTTATCAATTCCATAACCTTTTTTGTCATATTCCTTTATGAGAATCTTAAAAGGGTGAGTACAGGCCAATACCTGAAGTGTGAGAGGGAGGCTGGTTGGGGCTGGAATCCCTCGAAGCAGAAACCGACGCGCTTCTCTCTCGCTTGGAGATGTACCTGCCGGGTAGAGGGCTCTCCGATGGGGGGTTTGAGGCGTCATTCCGGTGAACCACCGGCACGGATTTAAACCCTCGATTAGATGGCTCTAATCTGGCCCGTTTCTGAGGATTCCATCTGAGTGTGTTGCGTTCAGCTTGGACATGGACATCATCGTCTTCGTCAAATGAACTAGAGTATGCTTTAGATAAAAGATCCATATGGCGACCTACAAATACAATAAGCAATACACGCAGCGCTTTTACAAAGTAATGAATAGTTGATTACCATTTACAAAAATTGAGGATGAAAGCCATATAAACACTACAATATCTTCGCGGACCACCCCCAGACTCAGAACTTCGTTCAGAACAAGACACCATAATCCCCGGTCTTAATCAAAGACACCATGATTAGGGATGGCAATTTAGCCTGACCCGACGGATACCCGCACCGAATTGAACCGGTCAAAATGGGGAAAACTGCTTTGACAGGGTAACGGGTACGGGGCGGGGAATACCCGATTTATGTAAACGGGTAATGGGTGGTTATGGGTTTATACCTACCCGCCCCGTTACCCGCCCCGTTTAATTTAGATACGGTTACCCACACTATTGTCCGACCCGCACAATTAACTTATATATTTTAATAGTTTATGTATTTATTATTTAATATATTAAGTATATGTGAGTAGTAGTAGATTAGTATATGACACTTATTCCCCCTAATACTTTTAAACAATATTCAACTTATTGGTTATCCTTTGCAATTATGAGGAGTTGTTGCTCAAAGTTCACTATTTTATATTTTAAATTTATTATCATTCATCATCCTTCCTTTGTTAACTTGTAAAAGATTTATTTTCTTCACATATTGATTATTTGATTTTCGTGATTTTCTCTACGCAATTTTCACATTGTGACTCTCTTAATTTTTCACCCAATAACTTTCATAAAACTCACGTATGAGTTTAAACTCCAAACATTTTAGATTACTCTACCTTGCTTTAATTTATGTAATTGCTAATAATTTTGTAGAGGTGTATTGGATGATTAAATTAATTTTGATTGGTTGCTATAATTTATATCAAGTTTTAAATTTTAAATTATGATTTTGTGGTACTATTTAATTTTGTTTTTTAACTCTATTTAAATCTATCTGTGGTACTATTTGATTTTTTTTTTTAATTTAGGTGGCTAATGATAAGGAGTTAATCATCATTTTGGGATTTATACTAATTTTGAAGGAAAAAAATTTATTTTTTAATAAAACGGTTACCCGCGGGGAAACCGTTACCCGCGGGTAAAAAATACCCGACGGTTAACGGGGCGGTTTCGGGGAAAATTTTTATTAAACGGGGCGGGTACGGGTAATGGTATACCCGTCCCCGAACCGCCCCGTTGCCATCCCTATTTTTGATTGGTTTTAAGAGAAGTGAAATCGAGTTTTGGAAATCTATTAGGTTTTGTTCGACTTTTCTCAATGTTGTAAAAACCGGATCGGACCTAGAGGAATGATGGAGTCACGGGTCAATCAGGACCCGGCGGATCAACCTGATCAACCCCTGTTGGATAATTGATACCCATATTGTATAAACAGGAGAAATTGAACAAAAGTGGAGAAGGAATGATGAAGAAGAAGGAAATGTGTATAGAATGAGTATTGGTTATATGAGTTACAAGCCTCCTATAAGGAGTATATGTAGGGAAAATCCGGGTCTGGGTCTCTAATATGGGCCTGACAGACCCGGTTACATAAATGGACTGATAGTATAAAAAGCTAATTTAGAACATCTGAATAATAATAATAATAATAATAATGTACAATAATATTAATGATATCCGCTAAACGTGTGTGGGCCGCTGTCCAGGCCTAGTAGTCGGCATACCGGGGGGTCGGAGTTCATATAATCCATCAGGAGTCCCCCACTCCCTGAGTCGAGAGTACTCGAGGTGAAAGGGAGTAGTCCAAACTGTATCTGCAACGTTCTTCCTCTTCGGCCGGGGGACCACCACCCTTGTCCATTATGGGGAGGTGCCTCGTTAAAAACCTTTACTAGGAAAAACCCAGCGGGGAAAAATCCTAATAAAGGGAAAAAGAGTACACCTAGCGCCCCCAACATGAAACAAGGAAGGTAAATCCCCTCCGGCATAATCAATCTAGCTCAGCTCCTCTTCAACTGACTCAGCTCTCATTCCTGCTTTTGCGTGATATTTTCTGCTCATCTAGAAACTCTGACCCCTCAGTCCCCCAGTCCCCGCTCTTTGAGGCGAGTGGAGACGAGGTGAAAATGAGTAAAGTCATCTTCGTACCCACACATTTATCATACATATAAAAATTTTTCTTGGGATTTATGTTTCCGATCGGGAGTTCGTCGCTTGAAACAAGTGGAGATGTGAATTGTTAATGTAATGATAAAATACTTAGTAGAATGGATGTGTGAGCCATTCGTAAGCAACGGTCGCCACTCGAGGAATGACTAAGACCGGTCTTCATACCCGACTTGGTCGGAGTTTTGTCTTCATGCCCGACTTGGTCGGGGCTTTGTGCCTGAGGAGACAGGGCTTTGTGCCTGAGGAGTCAGGGCTTTAAATCCTAGTGATGAGTCTCAAGCCACACTCTACTAGGTATTTGATCATAAGTGCGTGATAGTGTGATGCTCGCCCGACAAAAAATTAATTTAAATAAAAATAAATAATATGAAAATTAAAGAGTGCTTATCTTTTTGAAGTGGGTTGAAATATTTGATGGGTTGAAATCCAGCCCTTTAAAAGCACTTGCCCAAAAATGGTCCGACCCATTATTATTGGTGAGAATCAGTATTGGGCTTGATTAGTCTTGGTTCGTATAGAACTTTGCATTGAAATTGACCAATTTTGACCAAGCAATGAGTTCTGTCCGTCCAGAAGATAAACGAGTCTGGATTAGCTGGATATGCCCCATGAGGAGATAGGACAACAAATTGCAGAGGTCTTGTTGGCATGTCTTAGTCTGGCCCTTCATTTCCCGCAGCTGGCATAGGCCTTCAGCCTTGTCCTTGATGCCGCCGGAAAGGGATGGAGCGTGACTCTTGGCCGCCCAATGCATACTGTCGCCGCCAGCAAGGGCTCGAAACGAGGTCATCGCTGCCAGACGGAGAAAGGAGGCCTAGGGAGGTCCCCATCTCGCTGCAGCTTCGGAGGAATGAACGAAAGGAGAAGAGGCCACCTCCGCCACCAGGCCTTTCCGGTCGCCGCGCGCGAACGCTGCTGTATCGGACCGCTAGGCGCTTGAAAACATCATCTTTGATGCAAATGTTGGTGCTTCGTGCGACACTGGGCACTATGCCGTCCCCGGCGAGATCTGGAGCGGAAACCTTGCGAAGGGAGCTTGATGTGGCCATTCATGGAAGAAGTCTTGCAATGGCTCACCGGGGGCAGAGACTGATGATGCTGCGGCGGAGGTGAAGAAACAGGCTTCGAGCGTGGTTTGGTGATGCTGCAACGAAGGCAGAAGAAATACTTGCAATTGATGGTTCTACGGCGGCTAGATGTAGAAAAGGTGGCGAACCCGGAGCAGCTTCAGATCAGCGGACTGAAGGGGCGTCTCTTCCAGATGGTCTACGGATTCTGGTCGTGTTTTCGGTTCGGAGGTTTGTATTGCTACGCCCAGGAGCTTCAGCAGGCCATTAATTGCGGAAACGAGCTGCAAGCAGCTAGATGGGACAACAAGCGGCGACTAGAAGCTTTGAGGGATGACCTGCGATGCTCCTGCTGCTCCGGCTGACCAACTCCACTGGCTAGAGGGTACAGATTTGATCAAAAAGCTCCACTTCTGAAAATTTTCAGTTTTTTGTTTTGTTTTGGTTTCGGAACTGATTTTGGCTTATTTTCTGCATTCTGGATGAATTTTGGATGTTTTTTTGTGATTTTGGTAGAGTTTTTGGTTAATTGGGGAGGTTTTCTCACTTGATTGTGTTCAACCTCTCAATGAGAGCACCATTGTTGGATAATTGATACCCATATTGTATAAACAGGAGAAATTGAACAAAAGTGGAGAAGGAATGATGAAGAAGAAGGAAATGTGTATAGAATGAGTATTGGTTATATGAGTTACAAGCCTCCCTATAAGGAGTATATATAGGGAAAATCCAGGTCTGGGTCTCTAATATGGGCCTGACAGACCCGGTTACATAAATGGACTGATAGTATAAAAAGCTAATCTAGAACATCTGAATAATAATAATGTACAATAATATTAATGATATCCGCTAAACGTGTGTGGGCCGCTGTCCAGGCCTAGTAGTCGGCATACCAGGGGGTCGGAGTCCATATAATCCATCAACCCCGAAAAACCGGTCAACTCTTATATAACATTTAATAGTAAAAAAATATAGTTGTTCTACCGTGGGAGCGGTGCACATGGGGAGCATCCTGTTCCCACATTCATATGCAATGTAAATTATGTGAATCAACGTGTAACTTTTGGTTAATCAAAATGTAAGTTACACTCATTCAAATGTAACTCATTGAAATGTAAACTGCTTTGATTCAAATATAACTCGGGAACAAGTCAGATGTAATTTTTTTTAATGTAACTTCTATTCATATGTAACTTAGGAACAAGTAGATGTAACTTGTGAAATAAACATCCAGAAGAATAAAAAAAATCAGATTAATTTGAGTTGGAATAATACATGCTAAATCAAATCAAAAGAATTTGCATTCAATTTTAGAAGGGTTATGCATAAATCTTCTTGGAACAACAAACTTCATTCGTTCATTAACAGAGAAGAGAAAGAAGAAAGGAGGAGGACATGGAGGAGGATGAGGAGGAGGAGGAGAAAGAAGAAGAGAGCTTAGGTGCCGCCCGTCGGTGGCCAGAGATCAGTCTTGTAGCAGCTTCGATCGATTGATCCTCTTGTTTTTAATCTCTAAAGCGACGCCGTTTGGGATCGGCACACCTTGCGCACGGTGGGCCGATCCCAGGTATAATTTGCGGTAATACACATATTATTATATTTAAAAAACATTCTTTATTATGATAAATTGTTTCTTGATATTTTTTTAGTTTTAAAATATTTGAATATCTCACTATAGCATTGAATAAGAATTCTTAAGCATGTTTGAATAGTTAATATTCAAATATATTCACATATTCATCATATTCGAAAAAATAGTTTTAGGCCAATTCTAATAATATCATTTGATATTTATTTTATATATCTATAATCATATTTTAATTTTCTTTATAGTAAATATATAAATGCTATGTAGTATTATTCAACATACTTTGTTCAATAATCATTTTGGAATACTACACTTATTGTGAAATGTTAGAAGTATTTTATAAACATTTTAACTTATACGAAGTATTTGAATGCAGAGTTTTTTCCACAAATTTTACCAAAATACAACATATTTACAAAAATATGACAAATGTAATATCATGGTAACTTAAGTATAAAAAATGAATATAAGTTACTATAATTTCATTACCACTCAAGTCACTAGTTACATTTTTGTAAATAATCTTTATTTTAGTCATAAAATATGTAATTATTTAATGAATGTAATAATATACTCACATTTTAACTTATTTTATTATGTATTCATTACTCCGTATTATTAAAGAGTATTCCATAATAAATATTTTAATTTTTACGTTAAGAGTATATATATGGCTAAAGAACCAATAAAAACAAAAACATAGAGCGGCAATTTGGATTCCGTCTCACATTTTCACGCATTATAATAGTAGGATATAATAGACATTTAATTTAATTAGGGGTTGTATTTAGTAAAAAGGGGTTGCATTTAGAATTACCCATAATAAAACATATGCATATACTAATTAAAATAATAATAATTGGGCTGGACCAGAGAACATCCCTGCTCACATCCATCCGCCCCTGCCACCTAGGTTCAATTCCCATACCTGCCGGCAATTTTAAGTTTTAACAGGTTATATTTCCGGATTTGCCAGGTTCCCGGTTAGTCAATGGGTAATCTGATCTGGAAAAGGACCGGTTCACCTGTTCCCGGGCCGACCCGTCCGATCCGGTCTGGTTTAGTAAATATTGGTTTTTCTCAGCTACGTTTCAGGTCTGATACGGGTTAAAAGAAATACTATCAAACTTCAATACGAATTGCATATTGTTCTGTTTTAATTTGCCACTGATGATCTCGCAGCCGTCAGCGACCACCGCCGGTTAGTGACTGCGTCAACCAGTGATAGTCGACAGCAACACTCACGCTGTGCATGTGCGTCGTTACTCTTTAGCATTTCTGAGGCCCTAGACAGATAAATGCTTACTATGTACAAACCATATTGAAAATGACATAAATTGAATAAAAAGCACCATATGAAAAAAGCATATTCAAAGTGCACCATATATATAATGTTTTTAATATTGAAAACTATAACTATTTAAATGCAAATATATGTAAAATACATTGCAAACTGTGCTTGTAAGAGCTTATTGATATATTTTTCTTGCCTTCAGAAGGCCAAAATCCGAAAAATAGAGCTGACAACCGATGGCATTATCAAATTTTGATGACGAGGATGCCAGAGAGGTTGATGTAGCCGAGGAAAGCATGGAGTGTCCGGTGGTCGGCATCATGATGTCAGACAGGGAAATCAAATTTCAGGGGTTCAATGATGGCCTACGTGCGAAAGAAGACGAAGAGATGTTGATCCGTCCCCCTCCTGAACCGCCGCCATGGAGGAATTGTGCGATTAGGGTTTGGTCGTATATTTCTATTTTTGCTAAGACGATTGTGTTTTGTTTTTTTTCTTTTATGCTGTAAAACTCTTGCATTAGGTATGAGAGATGAGAGGTCTACGGTAATCGTCATTGGCTTTATTATGCCTAAGTTAGGACTAGCGAGTTATATTGCTTTATCAAAGGTGATTACTCAGAGTCTCGTCCAATGACGGATGGTTACATGTGGTTTTTTTGTTATCTTACACCGTATCGGAATGCTATTTTATCAATATAAGCTCCCTTAAAAAAACTCTCGCCAACTTATTCTTTCTCTTTGTACACCTCGAATAAAAATTTTGTTTTCCCATCCTAGCATATACAATTATAGATTATACAAAATCACAAACAAACCAATTAACAAAAACCCTAAACCTCTAAATTAAATACAATGACAAAATAAAACAACTATTGTCTGTTGTTTGGTTTACAGCTTTAGGCTTTTGCCTTTTCTCCTGTAGGCCTTTTATGTTTAGAGTTTAGACTTTAAACTATATTTCGTATTCAACTATTTAGGAGAGAACTCAGAGAAGTAAAAAAGAAATAGAGTTGGAGGCTCTGAGACACACATGTCAACAATTCGGCGACGCACGATGAGGCGTTCGGGCAGTGCCAGAGTTGAAGGTGGCTCGGGGAGTCGTTGTCGCCGACTTGGGATTTGCAGTCTTCAGGGCCGGCTCAGGCCAAGTGCCAGCAGTCCAACCGCACAGGGCCCGTAAATCCTGAAGGCCCAAAATCTTAATAGTCCTTATATTATTATGAACAATTATATAGCCCAAGACATAAAAAGCCCACATGCTTCATTAGAAGTTCTGTAGCCAGGGGGTTTCGATCTCTGGAGTATTTCTTACGCACGCAGATGTTGAATCAACTCAACCATCTGGTTGCATGATGTTAACACACTTTCATTTTTGTTTTTATATCATACAATTATTAAAATAACCCAAAGTCTTTAAGCCTGAATACTATCAACTAAAATTATTGATATGGATTTTTAATCATAATATAACAATTTTTTAGTATTGCACGCTATTATTAAATTAAATTAAATTAAATTACTATGAGATATTTAAGAAATATTCATTACATTTATGAATTTTATTTTGGGTAGTGATACATTAATTTTTAATTTAATCTTATAACCATTATTAAATTTTGCACAGGGCCCGTGTTTTCTTAGGACCGGCCCTGGCAGTCTTGGCACTTTGGTAGTCAATTTGCGTCTTGCTGGTTTTTGAAACACAGCAGTCAACAGCTTCTAGACTTCGGGCTTCCAGTTTAACACTTTGACGGATGCTTGGAGGGGTGGAGCAGGTGACCCAGGGACGGACCGTAGTAGAGACCCAGGGGCTACCCCCCAACAATTTTTTTAGGGTATATATACGAAAAATAATTTTCACTGCCTCAAAAACTAATTTTCGCCTCCCAAAAAACATTTTGACCCCCTCCCCCAAGATAGATTTCCTGGATCCACCCCTGGAGACCAATACAGTAATGCTGATACATAGTAGAATTTTTGGGGGCCCTTGTCATGTGAGGCCCAAGGCATTTGCCTAGCCTAGCTGGCCCCAAAGACGCCTCTGACAATGTGAGAGAAACTACCCAGTGATAAATCGACTGACAATATGGGTTCAGGGAGTTTTTTTTTTCATATCAAGGGCTTTTCTGTCTTCAGTTTCAATTTAATCTATTTTTTCATATTTTTTGTCCTGATCGGAATCTAGTTCCATATTATCCCGGGCCCATGTCGGTGAATTTTGCCAATTTCAAATTATATGGGTAATTAGAAAAGTGAAAGTTATGTGATTAAGATTTGTGAAGAGGGGAGAAATGATGAGAATAATAAAGGGATAAGGGTCAAGTTTTAGATGCGAATCTTGTATTGAACACTAAGGTTTTAGATGAGTTAAATTAGACACTATGATTACATGTGTGTTTCATATTGGACACTAAACAAAGATTTTTCACATTTGAAAGCTATTATTATTCACTTTTTCCTTTGTTTTATGTAGCTAGAAAATAAAAATAATTAAGATTTAGAATATATTATTAGATGTTCTAATTAAGAAAATCTTTTATAATGCATTGTTGAATTTTTTAATTTTGTTAAATCAACTTGTTTTAAATATATTTATAATTTGTTAAATAGTATTATAAGAAGTTATTAATCAAAATCAAATTATATACACCGTATTATAAAACCTCAAATTAAATATTCTAAAATTATATACATCAATTAAGTTAATTTAATGACACAAAAAAGGAAAGAAAAAATAAAACTAATACTTTTTATTAATGGAAGAAGAGCATCATAAGTGTAAAGTGTGTATCCAAAAACTACAGCTTATGAAATCTCGTTGGTAAATATGAGATTCACAAGTAACTATATTATTGATTTGTTCATTTGAAACCTCAATTGCCAATATAAGGTGCTGTTATGTTCGTCTTATTCTTATTACTTATTGTTTATTCTTATTTTATTCAGATCAGATCAGATCAGATCAGAAAAATTCATATCAGATCAGATCAGAAAAATTCAGATCAGATTATAAAGATTCAGATCAGATCAGACCAGATCGGAAATATTCAGATCAGATCAGAAACATTCAAATCAGATCAGATCAGAAAAGTTCAAACATGATTTATCACTTTTATTATTATATTAATTATTATTAATATTGTTATTACTATTATGATTATTATTAATATATAATTATTATTAATAATATTAATAATAATATGATAAAAAAAATAAGATATTAATAATAGTTATAATATTTTAATATAAAAATAGTAATATAAATGCAATTATTAAGAAGATTATTATTATTATTATTATTACAATATAATAATACTAATAATAATATGATTAATATTATTATAATATTATATTATAATTATATGTAATTATAATTATAATTACAATTATAATTCTTATAATTATAAGTATAATCAATTGTAATTATTATAATTATATCTATAATTAATTACAATTATAATAATTATAATTATAATTACAATCATAATTATAATTATGATTATAATTATAATTATAATATAATTTTATAATAATATAATACTCCCTCCGTCCCACAATGTTTGGGACAAAGGAGTGTGGCACAAATTTTAAGAAAAAGTGGAATTGTGTGGTTGGTGTTGAATTGATAAAGTGTGAATAAAGTAAGAATGAATTGTAACCACCCAAATATTGCCAAATATGGTATGGGACAAACTTAATGGGACGGACGAAAAAGGTAAAATGGGACAAAGTTAGAGGGACGGAGGGAGTACTAATTATAATAATAATAATAATCATATTATTATTATATTATTATTGTAATAATAATATTAATGTAATAATATCGTTATAATAATATTAATTGTATTTACATTACTATTATTATATTATAATATTATAATGAATGTTAATATAATAATATCGTTATAATAATATTAATTGTATTTACATTACTATTATTATATTATAATATTATAATGAATGTTAATATAATTATAATTATTATTAATTATAATTATAATGATTTTAATTATACTTATAATTATATTATAATTTATGATTATAATTATTATTTTTATAATAATAATAATTATTATTATAATTATTATTACTATTGTAATTATTTTACGGAGTAATTATAATAATATTGATAACTATAGTTACAATTATAGAGATAAATATTGTAATTATAATTACAATTATAATTATATAAGTAATTATAATTAAAAATATAATTACAATTATAATTATATCTATATTTATAATTAGTGTAATAGGTATAAATTTTTTCATTTTAAATTTAATTTTAATTATTATTATTATTATTATAGTTACAATTATAATTATAATTTTATTTAAATTATATTTGTAATTGCAATTATAATAATTATAATTATAATTATAATTATAATTATAATTATAATCATAGAAATATTCAAATCAGATCAGATCAGAAGGATTCAGATCACATCAGAAATATTCAGATCAGATCAGACCAGCTCAGAAATATTCAGATCAGATCAGAAAGATTAAGATCAGATCAGATCAGATCAGATCAGAAAGATTCAGATCAGATCATATCAGATTCGAAAGATTTAGATCAGATCAGAAAAATTCAGATCAGATCAGATCAGAACTTAAAAAATTCAAATCAGAAACATTCAGATCAGGCGAAAAGAACCGCTTCTAAGATTTATAAGTAATTAGTTGAACTGTTGAAGTGTGAGTTTTTTTGAGACAATTTTACAATAAAAAAAGGAAAATGACAAAAAGTTTTTTGTTTTTTGTTTTTTGTTTATCGTTCAATAACGTGTCGCCTGTGCCGCTCGTTTCAGACATGCAGGTTGGAAATAACAAGAACACCCCTGTGGCAAGTAGCACAATTCCACCAACAATTTTCATGTCAGTGAGCTAAGAGTAAGTTGTTGATCCAAGCCCCAAATCGGAGTAAGCGCCACCATGAATAATACCGTAATTTCAAGAAAATTCACTCTCTGGTTGTGCACACCGCACAATCGTTCTTTTGATTTCTCCTTAAATCCCCGGACATTCCCAAATAATCGCAACCCCTTTACCAGAAACCAATCGAGGATTCCGAAGTTATTATCTTTCTGTTCCATAACAAGCTCCGAATCTTTGGGTTATGGTGGCTGGGACACTCCTCAACTCTTCAGCGACTCAGTCGGCTCAGGTGAGTCGAACCATCTTCATAGACTTCTGAACTCCCTGGGAATTAATGATAAAAAACATGTCTCTGTATTCGTGTTGGGGTTTGTTTGTGCGTTAGCCATTTCTAGAGTCAAAGTTTCATCATTTATTGCATTCCCAGCTTGTATGGTGGTATTTGTTCTTGGGTTCACAATTGGGCTTGTCAATGGAGGTAAGATGAGCTCATTCGGGGCAAAAAATATGGCAAAAGATGGTTTGAATGGAGTTCCTGTTGATAAATTGAGCTCTTTGGAAGATGTAATCAAAGAGTTTGGTGCTAAGATTGTGAATTTGAAAAATGATGTTAAGAAGAGTATTGAAAGTAATTACATTACAGTGGGTGACCTAGAATGTTTCATTAACAACTTAGAGTCTGTTAATTCGTTAACTGTTAATGCTAGAGGTATCCTTGATAATTGTATAATAATTAGAACCCAGGAAGTGGAAAGAAGCTCAAATCAAAAGCAGAGTAGGCGGAAGAAAGATCCAAGAGATAATCAGTTTGGCATCCCTTGGTTCTTTTCAGGCCTGTTTCGAGAAAAACCAGATTTGAAGTATAATAAAGTGAAAGTTCCCAAAGATGATGAGCTAATGGATGGGAATATATTAGGCTCTTCTACTTATGATAGAAATAAAAACAATATATTGAAAAAGGAAGCAAGTACTAGATCAAACCCAGATGCTGATGGCAATGCAAATCCGCCTGAAATGGATTATACGACTTTTGGAAGTCGACAATATGGTTATTGGACTAACAGTTCCCAATACATTAGGAACCAGAGAATCTCTCTTAACAATGTTTATCCTAAAGAAGATGGGATTTGGACATCCGATGAGTTCTTAAGCAACTCTATGGAGTTTTCTGAAACTGTTTCTTCTTTTCGGCAAGAGGAAGAGGTCACAGAGTTAAAAGGAAATTATAGCATGTTTAATGGGCCAAAGATGGATGAAGAAGACCATGGAAAGGATGATATTAACTTCAATAAGTACATTTCTGAAGCTAATGCTCTTCTGGAAGAAGCTAAGAGTTGCTTACAGCAAAAGGGTGATGATAAGATTGCAGATGGTGCATTCCAGAAGTCTGCACTTGTGCTTTCAAAAGCTACACACATTAGACCTGTGAGCTCATTGGCTGTGGGCCTTTTGGGAAACACATACCTTCTCCATGGAGAGCTAAAACTGAGGATCAGCCGTGAATTGAGAATGCTACTACTCACTAGAGCAAATGCACAAAGTAATAAATTTGGGAGGAAAGAGGAAATTGCTTCGTATCTGGGTAATGTGTGTGAAGAGTGTGAAGAATTGCTGATTAAGGCAGGAAGGCAGTATAAGCTGGCTCTGTCGATTGATGGGAACGATATGAGAGTGTTGTATAACTGGGGGCTTGCTCTCAATTTCCGAGCGCAATTGATTGCAGACATTGGACCAGTAAGCACTCTTCGGCATAACAATTAATGGCTGTTTCGTAAATCTGCACACACTGCCACTTCACTCTTCTAGCAACATCATTTGTTCTCCTCCATCCTTTTTCTTAAGCAATGCATACTATACGGACAGAGTACCTGGCTGACACACACATATGATATACATGTTCAAATTGCAGGGTGCAGCACGTGATGCCGACAAGGTGTTCATGGCTGCCATTGATAAATTTGATGCAATGATGTCTAAAAGTAATGATTATGCACCTGATGGTATGTTTAAAACTTCTGTTCAGTCATCAACTGTTAGTCCACGTTCACATTTATCTTTCCATTAACCTCAGTTTGGGAGTTCGGGGCTTACATGTCTTGATATATATTCCAGCCATTCCTATCTGTATGTCGTCATTTCCCAATTTACAAAGTTTAAGAACACTCATTAAACTGGATACATGAGGAACAAAATTAATGAAAATTAATTACATGAATAATTATTGCTTATCTTTGCACGGTGCTGACAATCTGACATTGTTTAGTGGTAATGAACTAAAGTAATTGAACATTTATTGTTACCATTATTCTTGTTAGAGCAGAAACTTGGCATATAGCCTGTCAATCTTTTAAATCAGGTAGGAAAAATGAAAAGAATAGTGCCCTCTGAGCTGATGTAACAAATATATGGATTTTTGAGAAATGTTGCTGGTTGCAGCACTATTTAGATGGGGTGCAGCTTTACAACAAAGATCTCGCCTTCGGCCCAAAAGAAGTAAAGAGAAGGTTAAGCTGTTGCAGCAGGCTAGAAGATTATATGAAGATGCACTTGGTATGGACTCTGGGAATGTACAAGTTCAGAAAGCCTTGTCATCCTGCATATCTGAGCTCAACTGGTTCAATTAATAGTCTCAGTCTTTTTTCTGACCTGGGAGTAAAAGGGGAGAGTACCTCTGATCATATCTGAACAGCAGTTATAGGTTATTCTGATTCTCTTACACTCTTATTTTTGGTTTTTACAAAGTTTTCCCTTTTTGAGTATACATTTTAATAGTAATAGTAAATAATTAATACTACTATGTAGCAATCGTGGTTGAGGCAAATAATCAAGTATTTGTACTTAATAGTTTATTATTTAATTTTATATCACAAATTTGCACATCTGGCTATTCTTGAAACTCAAATGGGTTCATGTACCTGCCAGACTCCCAAGTTGTTATTATATAATAGAACTCTGATATTTCCGACTCAGAACAGTAGAGATTTAGGGAGAATTGATCAAGAAGATGATTAAGAAACTTTATTGAAGTGATTCGTTGTTTACAGAAGGAATACAGTGGACCATTCGAGATGCCCAATCTCCTAGCCTAGCCAATGTCAACTGAATACTTGCCTACCTATTTTCCTCCCCTCCCCTTCTATTTATACTACTACATGTACACTTACTATTATTATTATTTCTTATTATTAGCCTACTAAGCCAGATTCCTATCATTATACTACAATTATAAAAAGCTCATATTAGAACGAACCATCAATCGAATTAAAACTTGCAAATAGCCCATTTAGAAGGTTGCCTTCCAATTGCAAAATTGTAAGCAATCAAAGCACAAATCACAGCTATACTTTCAAGTTCAATATAAACAAAAGTGACTATGTTTGAAGATTAAAATTGGAAAGTCATGGATGTCTTTAGCAGTTCATTATGTCACTAGTAGTTTTTCGGTTGTCATCGTGAGTGACAGCTGGTGTCACTACGCTGCCGGTTTCTGGAGGCAGCGGCCACTAGTGGCCAGTCAGGTAGGAATCAAAAGTAGAAGAAATGTATATGAATTAATTAAATGTTAGTCACATTTTTTGGAAAAATGAAAACTAGCAATATTTTTGTCTTTCAAAAGTGTAGAAATAATAGTTTTACCTGTTTTTCATATTTTAACCATTGCAATTTGCAGTAATATCGCTCATTTATGACTGTCTACATTATGAGTTAGGAACATGCATTATTTTTAATATTGGCGAATGAATGTTTCAAATAAATGTAATTTAATTAGTTTAATCTTGGTACAAGGTAATGGGAAGATAATTGGCTCTTCTCCTTCCCAACATTTTACAGTCTAGCATTTCTTTGATTAAGTATTTCTCACACAAATAGTATTCTTAAGGTTTCATATCTTTGTATGTATTACTTAAAGTATTATTTCTAGCATTAATGGACACTTCAGTCACACAAATTCAAGTTTGTACATTGATTCTTAAGGCTAAAGCAATGAAATGACAGAGGCTTCTTTCACTTACATTTGGTTTTCTGTTATTAAAAAAGAATTCATTTTCTTTTCTTTTTTAAATTTAAGGATGGTACAATTTTAATCCTGAGATGAATTCTCAGATTCTGTATGTTTCATGATGCCTTTGATTTGGGAACTGACATTAGTGTAAGTCATTGTACACGAGTTTCCATATTTCTGTACTTTTAATATCTAGCAAGGTTACAATATACGCTAATGTAATTGAATATTTGAATGCCTCTCCCAGTTTTGTTAGGCATATTTGTTGTCTTTGTTTGTTCATTTGTGCAAAAGTAATTTATATTTTACACATTAGCTCAATCAGTCTTTTAATCTTGTTTTTGTTTTAGTGAACTGATTAAATGTTTAGTTTTTTTAAAAGTTTATTATCAGTTTGTTCAGAATATATTATCAAAGTTATGAGTTTATTTTTAGTGATATTTTGTTTTGTTTACACTTATTAATGCAGAAACATGAGAGACGTTCACGATTACAAAAACAATTCCTAGAGGTCCATGTTTAGTTTTTATTCTCATTATATCTAACAAAAGTCTATGATACAGAGAAAATGTCTGTGAAACTCTTCTTGAGAGTATGTTGGTGTATTGAGATTCAGGCTAGTTTTTGTTGGGCAAGTCACAATTATATGAGGTTAGATTGTTCGATCATTGTCTCAAGCATCACGTTTGCATATATTCAAAGTGAATATGTTTTAAATATAAACATTTCATGATCGTCTCAAGCATCACGTTGACTGTTTAGGCAGGGCTTCGAGCGTATTCATACAAAAGCCTCATTTGGAACTCATATCATTTTGAGATAGAAGGCAACATGGTGCTTAATGACAATCATCAAACATTTAAACCACTTATATTAAACTAAACCTAATCAACCTTGAATGATCGGATCGGATGGACATCTCTCTTATTTGGAAATGAGACATACCTTCATAAACGCCAAGAACACTGTAACAATGATCATTGATCAGCAATTTTAAATACGCGTGTACGGTGTACCTGACAAGCTTTCTTGTTCAAGCAGTTCAACCTTCATGTGCCTGTGAGTAGTCAACAATTTCGAGCTGAAACTTGAACTTTATAAACACCAAGAGCGCTGCGGAATGATCAACAACACCAAACACACGTCTGACCTATTAACCTTTTTCAAGTAATCTTCAACTGCGATGAGGGGTTACTATGCTGAAAAAATGCATAGGGCCTCTGCAAGTACCGGGGACAGAGCCCCACTCTCTATCTGTCAGATTGTGATTATAGTCCAATTTACATCCTCCCATCGTGTCGTCCGGTCGGTGTTGGGGGGCCCTCAGGGATGGGGTGTCATCCTTTTTTTTTTTTCAAGTAATCTAACCTCACATTCATGTGGCTAGCCCCGTAATGAACCTCTAATCACACCGACCTATTCCCGAAAAGAAGTTTCAGAATCATTTTGTCTAATTACAAACCTCTGAGATATTATGAAAGATAATATCCCCTTCTACGATATTTTTATTAAAAAGCATTTTTCAAGAATGTGTTCATAACATATACAGAGTATCTATTCTTATTGGTGTTTCTAGTGAAGTGAAGAAGGGCAGTGGCTAGAGGCATGTGCTACAATGATATAATCTGTATTAATGGTTTCCTATACAAGGAAAAACTATTTAAGTCTCAATCAGGGGCGACACTAAGAATCCGTGTTGGACCGGACTGAGGAGTAATTATACTAGGTTTGTACTTTGATCATTAGCGGGTGTCTAAATATGAAAATTACACTAATAAAATTTGGAAAAAGTAAAGTTTCTCTGACCTTCAGTCAACTATAATCCTAACATAGACCGCCCTGGCGTCCTCCCCTGGTTTCAAATAAAATTTTGGGTGCAAAGTTCTATGGTGAAAAGGCCGGCCAGATGCTAAGCTTTTACATGGGTGGGCTTATCACAGCAAACTAGCAAAGTAAACATCAAGCAATGAATCACCATCAGGAGAAACAATAAGCAAGAAAAGTGCAGATCTACTTTTAAACTCTAAAGTCATAGTAGAAGGACTAGAAGAGAAAAAAATCTGTAAAGGGCATTAGGCAAAAGACCGCAAGACAAGTGTTTTTGCTCTCTCATCATGGCCCTTCGTTCTGTTTCGGCTTAGGACCTTTCTAGGTGTCCATGAAAGCTAATATTTTTTACATCAAATTTCTTGTTTTACATATACTGGCCTTCTGATTTCTAGATATCAGATATGCATTTGAAGAATATTATCAATAATTAAAATATAGGTATGGTACTATGGTTTAGAGTAATTGATCGAGAGAAATCAAGTAATTCAACTTAATAGTTTAACAAATAATTTAATTTATCACTCATTCACACATTTGGCCTATCTTCAATTGCCATTGAATGATGATGCATTGTTATTAATTTTTTTTTCCTGCATTGTAATTAAATTATTTTTATTTATTTATTATATGTAGTTGTAGTTTTAAAATTTTCGAGAAAGCATTATTAAAACTTGAATATGAGCCGTAAGGACTAAGCCACGGAGGAGAAGCAAATGAGATGTCTTCCGAAAGTCTTGTAAGCCGCCATAATTGAAACAAAGTGAAGCACCAACTCACTCTAAACAAAAATGTAAGGACAAAATTGTACAACTCTATATAAATCTGCAGTTGGCAGTTGGCACAACCAATGGACAGGACAATTTTTTTTAGGACAAAATTGTAGTCAAGAAGGTAAGTTGCCTTCACCATCTTTAGATTTTTTTTTTTTTTGGATGAAATGTAAATATATATTAACACCCAAAACGGAACTATACAACACATGTCCTAGATCTCCTAAAACCTCCCCCACCCCCACGGAGGAGAAGCAAATGAGATGTCTTCCGAAAGTCTTGTAAGCCGCCATAATTGAAACAAAGTGAAGCACCAACTCACTCTAAACAAAAATGTAAGGACAAAATTGTACAACTCTATATAAATCTGCAGTTGGCAGTTGGCACAACCAATGGACAGGACAATTTTTTTTAGGACAAAATTGTAGTCAAGAAGGTAAGTTGCCTTCACCATCTTTAGATTTTTTTTTTTTTTTGGATGAAATGTAAATATATATTAACACCCAAAACGGAACTATACAACACATGTCCTAGATCTCCTAAAACCTCCCCCACCCCCACATAAAGTGGGGGTGAAAGGAGGTTTTTATTTGATCTAATCCTTGTCCAAAAAACCAAGTATAGTACTTGGTCAATCAAAAAGTACAAAACTACATCAGAGCTGCAGAAGCACGCTCACGGATCAAAGGCTAATAAAACAGATGCATACAAGATGTTGCAATAGGCAAACATCCCCAAAAATCAGAAGTTCAGTTGAGGCCGCAGCATAATTAGTTCCCAGAGGTTCTATAAATGCCGCAGCCTAATTCCTGCCCAAAGGTGCTATTAATGCCGCGGCATAATTCATGTCCATGCTCACTTCATCAAAATATACTTGTCACGAACTCTGCTTATAGCTTTGCCTCCTGGCCGTGTCTTCCTTCAAAATTTGATAAGATCATGTGGATATATAGAATACATTATTTTGTATACCACATGTTTTATCTTTGCAATGACCTCTTCTTCCATTTTTATGCTTCCATCAAATCTACAGGAGTTCCTAGCATTCCAAATGTAGTAGACCGAGGCGCAGAAAGCTAGGCGGACTGCCTTTGCCTTCATCCTCGAGCCTTTGTGAGTCTTTGTGATCCATTTGATAGCGCTTAGCAGCGTAGTCATCTCATGCCGCAATCCCATCCAATCTCTTATGCGCTGCCACACCCTACATGTGAAGGGGCAAAGGAAAAAAAGGTGTGGTATTGTTTCCAAACCACCCTTGCAAAGGTCACACCTATTCACAATGTGCAAATACCCAAGGCTATCCTGTGTAGGAAGCCGGTTCCTTAATGCCATCCATACATTAAAAGATAGTTTGGGAGGAATGTAAGACTTCCATATGAAACACATAGGAGTTCTAACATTACCCCTTACTCTTAGTAAATCATAAATTTTTGCGGAGGCTAATTTTCCATGCATGGATCGTGCATTAAGGCCGAGCAACATATCGTTTCGATTATTAAAACATTCACATATTTTATTCCGTATAAGACTTAATCGCTTCATTAGTTGGGAGTCCCGAGTGTGTGGGACAAAGTCCCACACATTTCTACCTTTGAGATAGACTCCATTCACCCAACGTACCCAGAGCGTGTCCTTTTTTTGGTGGACATCCCAAAGGGTTCTAGATAGGAGAGCATGGTTCCATATCTTAGCATTATGGACACCCAAGCCCCCTTCCTCTCTAGGGAGGCAAATGTCATCCCAAGCCACCTTTGCAAATTTACCACCCCATAGGAAAATACGACAAATCGAGACAATCCTATTTAAGATTGTTTGAGGTACCGGGAACACTTGAAGCCAAAACGACTGAACTCCTTGAATTACAGAACGAATTAGCTCAAGTTTACCCGCATAGGAAATTGTCTTGGTATTCCATGCATTCAAAAAATCATTAACCGTATCCAAGAGTGGGGCATACTGTGCCACCGAGATTTTGAGGGGCGCAAGTGGGACCCCAAGGTATCTCACAGGGAAAATACCCTGGTCAAAGTCAACAAGATCTAATATACCTTGCACATCAAAACTATGAACTCCTCCAATGAAAATGTTTGACTTGTTATGATTAACCCTTAGGCCCGATACGTCCCCAAACTCTTTTAGGGCATCAACTAATATCCCAATGGAATATTTGTCTCCTCTAGAAAAGAGCATAAGATCATCCGCATAGGCCAAATGGGTTATACCCAAGGATCCACAAAGCGGGTGGTAATTAAATCCCGACGTCTTAGTTTTTATGGCAAGAAGACGAGAAAAATACTCAAGGCATAACACGAAAAGCAAAGGGGACATTGGATCCCCTTGCCTAATGCCACGCTTCCCCTTAAAAAAACCATGCAAAGACCCATTTAACGACACAGAAAAGGAGGCCGTAGTGACACACTCCATAATCCATCCCACAAAAATTCCGGGGTAGCCCAAACCCGTAAGGACATTGGCAAGGAAATCCCAAGAGATGGTGTCATAGGCCTTCCGCAAATCCACCTTGATCATGCAACGAGGTGAAATTCGCTTCCTATTGTATCCTCTAACAAGTTCCTGGGCTAGGAAAATGTTATCAAACATTAGGCGGCCGTCGACAAACGCACCTTGCGCTTTATTAATCAAACCCGAGAGGGTAGGGATAATTCTTGCCGCAATAATCTTCGTGATAATTTTGTAAAGCACATTCGTACAGGATATAGGTCTGTAGTCAGAGACCTTAGGGGAGTGACTAGTTTTAGGAATTAGAGCTATGACAGTATGATTCAACTGTTTAAGCATCTTTCCCGAGTTAAAAAACTCTTTGGTCGCCCGAGTCACATCCCCCCCCACAATATTCCAATTCTTTTTAAAAAACGCCGAGGAATAACCATCCGGCCCTGGTGCCTTGTTATCTCCAATATCAAACAAAGCATCTTTAATTTCTTTGTTCGTTATTGGGGATAATAGGCATTCATGAACACTTGGTTCAATCAACGGGCCGGTTCCTAGTACCGTATGGTCAAAGGAAAAGGTTTCCATCTCGGTTCCAAAAAGATCAACAAAAAATTTTACAAATTCGTTCCCAACATGATCAATAGAAGAGGTAAGACTACCATCATCCAAAGTAATGGAGGTAATGGTATTTCTGGCCTTGTTTCTGTTGACGATTGCGTGGAAGTATCTTGTACCCTTATCTGCCTCAAGAATATGCGTGGCCTTAGCTCGTTGTTGGAAGAAACAACATTCGGCCTCACAAAGAAAAGTAGCTCTCTTCCTCGCCCCTTTGACTTGGTCTTCCAGTTCGGCATCATTGGGTGAGTTTAGCCATAATCTATGCAACATTTTGAATTCCTCTTTCGCATGTTTAGCTTTCGTAGATATGTGACCAAATTCCAAATTATTAAGATTCTTAAGGGGCTGTTTTAGCAACTTAAGTTTCCTAGCAATTTGAAATTGGGCCGAGCCATTAATGTCCACATTCCAATTCTGCATAAGTATGTTAGTGAAATCCAAATGTTGCAACCACATGTTAAAAAATTTAAATGCTTTCGGCCTAGAAGAGGAATTATAGAGTATAGACACCACGGAAGCCGTGTGGTCAAACTCGACCTCCATTTCCGCGAAATGGGCCTTACATTCTATCCCTAAATGAGCCCATGACTCATTAAGTGATACCCGGTCTAATTTTGCCCAAATGTTACCTTTATTCCACGTAAAAAATTCCCCAGTTGAAGGGGCATCTTGAAGATTGGCCCGAATTTTAAAATCCAATAAGTCCTTTAAAACATACCCCGATGGAGTGGAAGAACCCAACCTCTCATTAGGAGAGCATACACAGTTGAAATCTCCAGCGATCAACCAAGGGTCCCTAATTAGGTCACCAAGCGACGTGAGATGCTCCCATAATGCCCTACGCCTTAAAACTGTATATAGCGAGTAAACAAACGTAGCATAAAACACAGTTTGTGATGTTCGGCATTGGCATTTAAAGTGTATGTATTGTTCTCCCATTTCAATCATAGTACATATAATCAAGTTGGGGTTCCAAAAAACTAGTATACGACCCCCATCAATAAAGTCGTGGTTAGTTTGAAATTGCCAACCCGGCCATTTATTAGAAATATAATTAGAAATATTATTTTTTGTCATTTTTGTTTCTAAAAAACCGCATAAGCATACATTATTTACCTTAATAAAATTCGATAAAGTAGAGTGTTTAGAAGGTTTTTTCAAACCTCTTACATTCCACGAAGCAACCTTAATCATCCAAATCATCCGGGTTGGAGGTGCGGTCTTCCTCCGAATCATCCCCATTCTCTTTCGCTTTTCCTTTTATTTGCGCTTCCTTCATTGCCCTTCGGGCTTCCACATTCTCTATACTGTTATCATCAAAAAAGGCAACAACCTTAGGAATAAAAATAGAAGTGTCAAAATTAAACCATGCTCCCTCGCGGCTGACTCCAGGCAGTTCGCGGATGCACTCAAGAGTGAAGCTCATGCCGGGATCCTCAAAATTTGCCCTTTTGAAGTCAGGACCCACTCGATATATAGGCATACTAAAAGGGAGAAGTTCCCTCTTCCCTGCATATACAATTCTATGCCCATCCGTATCAAACTCCATGCACGTAATCACATCTTCCTCATCTAGTTCATAAACATTATTGACTAGACGTTCCCCCCAATCCTTGTATGGTTTCTTCCTCACATATATCGGGTCATGCAATTGAGCCGCGGCTTTGGCCTTGGAACGCCTTTCCACTTTAATCCTTTCCTCAACTTCCATTGCTTGTTCTCTTGCACGTGCGAACTCAACATTATGCCTAGCTTCAAGATCAAAGAAAGATGCAATGTTAGGAATAAAAATTTCTTTATTAAAATTATACCATTTTTTGGCACGCTTTACACCCGGGAGGCCCACCAAGCAAGGGTCCGTGATAGAGATTGCCGGTGAATCCTTTTGAGCTTCCTTAAGCGTATGAATGTCAAGTCTTGCCACCGGGGTTTGCCCTTTGATTTGTTGTTGTTTTTTAACAAAAACAACCGTCGCACCATCCTCCTCGGTATCAAAATCAACTATAATGTCATCCGAGAGCAATTGGTGCACACTTTTGATCTTTCTTCCTCTCCAAACAAATTTCTTTCCAAGATTTAAATTCGGCCCACTGGGAACTGTAGAACCAGCCACCTTAGGGGCCACTTTGGTGGCATTCGGGTTCTTTTTTGTTGAGGATTGGTTTTTATTCTTCCTTGGTACCACCAATTGGAAAGAGGTCTCCTCGGTTTGACCATTAGTAACCACATTAGGCTGAATTTGCTTCAATGTAATGCTTTTGGTAGTAGTCGCCTCTTCTTGCACTTTTTCACTAAGTTCCGGATGCAATATCATACACTTGAAAGGATCATGCCCATATTTTTTGCATTCATAGCAATAATTAGGATATGTTTCATAATACACATATTGTATTCTCTTCTTCCCGGATGGTTGAATCATAGGGATTTCAAGGATCGGCGGTTTAGATAAGTCCACCTCCACAAGCACTCTAGCAAAATTAGGTCTCATTTTAGTAAGAGTGACTTGATCCGCAACAATAGGCACCCCCACCCGTGAAGTAAGTTCACTAATCTCTTCTTTGTTCCATAGTGTGACCGAGAGACCGGGTAGCTTGATCCAAATAGGGACTTTAAGAAATTCCTCATCATCAACTTCAAAGTCGTCGGATAAGACCTTTAGAAATAAGGCCTTACCATAGGATGAATATGGCCCTCCGGATATGACCTTGGTACGGTCCTCTTCATTTTTGAATTGGAATATGGTCCATCCTTTATCATGTTTTTTCAGTTTGCATTGAACACCCCATGTATTAACAAGATCAATCACCGCTTTGATACCGGGAAATCTCCCGGTGAAGATCCCCACCAAGCAATATCCCCATATATCAATAATGGAGGGCACCTTTCGGTTTGAGAAATCCACAATATCTCCCTTAGGTGGGATAAATTCAAGCTTCATGCCATGGGATAGAGAACGATTGTTTTGAAATAAATTGGCCCACCCCTTTTTTTCATTTTTCTCATCCTTGGATGTGGCATCGAGGCTAGCTTCTGAGTAAGTATCGATGGATCCAAGGGTCTCGGACTCGTCCTCTATCAAGTCATCTTTCTTGTGATTTGCATTCGTAATTGGAGAGACTCCAGTTGATGAAGCAGATTGCTTCTCAAAAGTAATTTCTTTCGAAGATTCCACAGTTGAATGTGTAGGATTAATAGTAAGACTTGGAGCAATTTTGGGAATATAAGGAGCAAGAACTTGATCTCCACTTTTCTTTTTGTCTTCGAGCTCCTTCTTCTTGTCATTAAGCATCTTGATCTTTGCGTCAAAAGAATTATCCTTCGGAGGAGGAGTACGATTCTTCTTGTTTTTCTTTGTCATCGGATAGGTTTGCATAACCTAACCCCAGTACAGAGCTTAAGTGTGCCTGAAAAGTTAGTAAGAAAAACACAAACATACAGAAAAAGCAAGCAGTAGTATTCAAGGCAGTGTTCACCAACCCAAACTATTTCCAAAAAATTTGAAAATACTTTCACACAACCCCCTTGAAGTTAGGAACACACCAGTATAAACCTTTACCCCAGTGGACAAGTATTGAATCCAGAAAAAATTCCTAACTAGTCAAAGGTTCGCAGGAATTACTGTAGCAGGCAGTGAGATAGGAAAGGGAAGATGAACAGTACTCAAGTAAATTCGAACTTCCCAGAAAAATCTGAAAAAATTCCAAATTACTCGCCAAGTGATAACGAAGCAGAGGAACAAACAACAAACTAAACACAATATGCAGTGAGTTCAGAAAAAAATCAAGTAAGGAAGTAACCTGCGTAGTGCTACAGTACCCAAGAATTTGGGGAGAAATAGAAATCTTACTTCCACCTGATAAAACCGGTACTACTGGCTTCGCCTAGGTTAGATGCTTCCAAAACCGTCTTTAGAATTCAATTTGGACGATAGGCTTTAGAGAAATTTGAGGTCAACGCTCTGTGGTGAACAGTAGCCGTCCGCAACGGATCCTTTCTTCCTTCAGTACGGCGGCGTTGTGGTGGCCTGAAACCAGTTGCTAGAGGTTCGCCAGAGGTCGGCGACCCCCAGGGAACCGTCTTCTTCCACAAACAACCGTCTACAATGGGATCTAAGTGGAGTTTCTAAATCGGGGATGAACAGTACAATCTGCGAAACTGGGGTTTCCAAAATGGGTCGATTCTCTCTCAGCAATCACTTTCTTACAAATCCAATCGGTAGATATGCAAGACAAATGATTTACGAGCAAGAGGAACACGGTTATACAGGGATTAATTCGTTGGAATGTCTGGGAGAGCAATCGGGAGTGACGAGCTATCTAAGGAAGTTCGAACTTTTGAGGGTGCGAAACTTTCCTAGAGAGAAGCAGGAGTGTTTTCTCAACTCGTCACTACAAATCTTTCACCATCTTTAGAGATTTGCTTGCTCCCCGGTCACCATTTATATTCCACATAAACCAGTTTAAAAAAACTATTCACCTTTGTATTACCAGTCTACTCAATGCTATACTTTAGGTCCTGTTAGGTAATGGTTATTAAGCTAAAATGGCTGAATCTGCCTGACAGGGAACATATCAATCAATCTACCAACTCTTGTTGTCTTTTTTGGTAAGCACAACAAGGATAGTGCTACCAAACAGGTCACCTCTCAGTCCAATGGCCATTTTCATCCCAAACAGATGCAAGTTTGAACCATAGCCATATGAAAGAAAACAAGAGGAAAAGTAATACACATATATAAGGCACCACACAATTGTATTTAAAGTGAATTAATCCGGTTGGTATGACTCTTACAATATATTATATGAATATACGATCAATAAAGAAACTTGATACAAGCAAAACAAGTAGGCATAACAATAGTCATCGTCTGTTATTGCTTAAAAGCATTATTATCTCTACCAGGCTTGCTCTTAGGCAAAGGGTTGGCAATGCTCCTGAAAACCCTCAACATCTCTTTATAAGTCACAATCCCAACCAGACTCTGGTCCTCTTGAATGACCCAAATGGTACTAGCCCGGTGAGCTAGTGCTTGAATCATAACTGCCACCAAGGAACTCCACGGATAACAAGTAATCGCCTCAGATCTCCTCAAACAGTAATAATTCCCAGACCCGCCACTCTTGCTCAAAGTCGACGACTCATCATCCGAAGAACAGCTAGAAGCCGCCGATGATGAGGAATAAATCGAAGAAACCGAATATTCCTCTTCCTCCCCAATCACTCCCAACAGTGCACTGAGATTCCTCTCTCCCGCCCTCTGCTTCACCAGCTCAATCAAATCATCAGTGGGACCCCCACAGTCTATGTATGCCATGAGATCACCTGCCGTGAGAGTCATTACGGCCGCGGAAACCGTTTCTTCACAGTATGAAAGGGTGAAAGGCGAGATTTCGCCTATCAATCTGTTGTTGTCGTCATCGTCTATAACAGCAATTGAGGTCTGTTGGATGTGAGCACTGGAAATAGAGTTCAAGGCATTGGTCGAAGGTTCGTGGTAGTGGATGGTCATGATGTCATCACGGTTAATGATGCCGAGGGATTCGATGGTGAACGTTGGTAGGGGTGAGAAGACACCAATGGAATTGAGGATGAACCGGACGATGTCTTCTTGTGTAAGCCAACAGTATTCAACCCCGTGGTGGTTTGAGGGACTTAAAAGTTGCTTTCTTCTTGAACGGCTGTTCATATGGGTTTGTTGTATTGGTATGATTAGGTTTTGAGTGCCTTCAAGAATGCAATCTATGGCTTCAAGCAAGCTGAATACAGAAAATACGATGTCAGGACGAAAAAAAAAAACAGATTCACCGGTTGTAAAACCTAGGGATTGCTATTGGAATAAGATATTTTGAAACACATTGAAATTACAATTCAAATCTCTCTCTATTTTACCCGCTGTATTTTGCTGAAGATTGCCAGGATAATGAAATTCGAATAAATAACCCTTACCAGTACCAATTTGGCCCTTAATCGTTTATCTTTCTATATTTGTATCCAAAATCAGGCAAAAATTCTAGATGATGAACACCAATAACGGGAGATAAGACATTTAAATCGGCCCAAGTCAATGCAGTTTCTACGAATTACTAGAATCAAGTCACCACCAGACAAAAAATCAATCAAACCATGAATTACAGAACTAGCGGGGAAGAAATAGAGGAAGCGAACCTTGAATTAGGCTCCAGATGCCTGACGATAGGGACGCCTTTGGGCAAAATGTCAGAAACCGGAGCTTCCAGAGCCTTGGTAATCTTCCCCAAATTCTCCTCTTTGCACAGAAAGCAAATCACATCAACCATACAGATCTTCCCGACACAGAGGCAATCGCAATCTCTCTGAACCTCCTTAGAATGATCGGAACATCTCCATATGCTCACATAAGTCTCGCTGGACCTCTTCAACGCGGCCACAGCCTCCGCTATGCTGGCCGTCTCCCTCACAGGCCTCAGCGCTGGCTTTCCCAAGCACAGATCTGATAGATGCTGGTTCAGAAATCTAACTGCCATGCAAGAACAGAGTTCCAAATAAGGAGATTGAGAAACAGTCCGGAAGAAAGAAGAAGCGGGGAAATTATAGGCCGGAAATAACGGGGGCGAAGGTAACAGAAGAAAAGTGATAGAAGAAGGTCACTATATAGGGAAAAAAGAAGCACGTGGGCGTAACATGACATAATCGATGCGCTGGCGGTGCTGGCACAAATAGACCTTCTTTGACCAAGAGGTCACTCCGTACTTCGTATTTACTACTCCTCATAAATTACTTGGCACGGAGAATAACAAACTAGAATAAAATGGAAATGTGTGGTTGTGGTTGTGTAAGAAAAAATGTGAAATGAATGTGAAACACACAAATTGTCTAAAAAAGAAAACTGAGAAGAATTTTTTGGGATGACCCAAATAGGAAAGTGAGAAAAATTTTATGAGACGAGGGAGTACTTGAGTTTTGCTAATATTATATTTGAGTTTAATCTTGTTTCTACTAAAATTTTATTTTATTTTTCAATTTTTTTTCATAATAGAAATATTTGAACACTACATAATACATACTATTCAAAATTCTCTACTATCTTTTATTCCTTGTCGATATTTAATTTATATTCATTTTGATTATTTATTAAAATAGAGATTTTAAATTAGTTTTAATAATACTACATTAAATATTAATAAAAGTCAGGTCTAATATTGAATATTTAATATGGATATTTCTATAATTTTTTTTTGAAAAACATTAAATATTTAATAAAAAGATTACACTCAAATATAATATTATTAATTTTTATACATATTTTTTCTTTGATACACTCAAAATTAAAAAAAAAAAATTGGAAAAGTTAACACCATTAGCACTTGGAATATTTTGTGAAACATAAAACTCATTGGTATTATTTTCATCAAATTTGTCAGTAGGGATTATTTTTATAAAATGTGTAAAAGTATGGATTATTGGTGTCAATTTCACCAAAATATAAATATGTTTACCATTATTTCAAATCTCAAAAGTTGACTTTGAAACATAAATACATACCAACTAAAATTTTTAGTAAATAAAACAAAACAACATATTCACTATAATCAGTAATTATGATCTTAAATTGACAACGCAACGAGACAACAAAAAGTTCATTCATCTCAAAGGGTCACGAGCAAAGCATTCAATTCCAACCATCTCAGCCTCTAATAAGAGGCCTAAGAGTATTAGAGAACCCTTTAAAATAAATAATAATGTTTCAAATACTTAAATAACTAAACTAAAATAGTTAGTGTAATATAAAAATAAATAAGTAAATGTACATTTAAATATATAAACTAATAAAAAATAGATAAATTTCAATTATTATATATAACAGTTTTTTAACATTTCCATATACATATTATTTTCACGAACCGAGAACCGAACTACTAATAAGAAATAGGAACCGAACCATTAAAAAGTACTAGGGGATAAGGGTCGGATAGAGTCTCGAATTTGAAAAAAAATGTCAAATAAGGTCATATTTAGGATGCTCTGTCCGGCCGGCACCATTTGGAGCGGTTCCCGGTGGATTTTTTTGATGAATTTTTTTGAGAATCTTATTCATTAAGTCTAGTTTACTCATATCAAATTTGAATTAAAACTTCAATCGGGAAGACATTCAAATGAATTCTCGAAGATAATTGTGCAGTAAAAAGCGCAGTTATCTTCAAGAATTCATTTGAATGCCTTCCCGATTGAATTGTTACTTCAAATTTGATATGAATAAACTAGACTTAATGAATAAGATACTCAAAAAAAATCATCAAAAAAATCCACTGGAAACCGCCCCAAATGGCGTCAGCCGGACATAACATCCTAAATATGGCCTTATTTGACATTTTTTTCCAAGTTCGAGACCCTATCTGAGTCTTATCCCAAAGTACTAGTAACTAATAAATGTTGGAATCAAACCGAACCGGGTCATAACGGTTCTCCGGTTCTTGGTTTCAAAGTCTCGGCCCTATTTAAAAAGGTTCCTTTTGACTTGCACAAAATTTCAAAAAATGTCACTTCTTGGCGATGTTGCATTGTTTAAATACTATTTGACACTATTTGACAATGTTAGGAACTGTTTTGTTTACCAAATAAGAAAAGAGATATTTTAAGGGACAGAGTGAAAAAAAATAGAATGTTTATTTAGAGACGAAGGAAGTAGTTTTAGTTATTTTAGATATCCACGGTTCTACATCCCTTGTGCCATTTCGTTTAAAGAGTTAAAATGAACAAGTGGATACGAACACAAGTATAGACTCCTTTAATATTATTTTTCCCTACTGTTTTTTCGGTATTCCAGTATCTTCGGTAAAATAACTCAACATGTTTTTTTCGGTATTCCAGTATCTTCGGTAAAATAACTCAACATGTTTTATACACACCGGTTTATTAAAACATTAATCAAATTATTATACGTGTTGTTAGTTTTTGTTGTTTTATGAATAATTATGATATTAAGAAATTACACATTTTGATGTTAAAAATAAATAAAAGTTTTTATTTGTTTTTTCAGTTTTAATACAAAATTATGAAATTGAAAGATAATTTTTTTTATGAATTTTTTTATTTAAAATAAAAATTGGGTCAAGATAAAAAAGTTATTAGAGTTTTATAAAAAAGGGTTTTTATTTTTCTTTTGTTTTCTCCCTGTCAATACATCTTCTGTATTTGAACTTTTCATCCCCTTTCCCCCTTCTAACACTTATTTTAGAACTCGTTCGGTAATACCCAAATCGAAGGTATTGGCCGATTCTGTTGAAATTTATGAATCTCAGGCTGAAGTGGTCAGAATGACTGATCTGCTGATGCATGGAAAAATTATATTTGAAATGTATTTTATTAATAAAATAAAGAAAAATATATATTAAAAACAACTAAAATAATCGTCTAAAGTAGTCTTAGCCAATATAGTCAGAAAAATAACTCAAACGGAC